TCAACAGAAGGTGCTACAGGAACGGGAAAAATACCAGCTAACTGCACACTCCATGTCTGCTCTGTCCGCAATTCCTCAGTTTGCAATCAATGATAAGTTTGCACTGAACAGGGATGATGCCAGCTATACATTGAGTATTGAAGTTCAGATTCCCATTGACAATGTCTTGTTACAGGTAAGCTCCATCTTTTGGAGAGGCATTTTTCTAATACTTAACTTCATCTTGAAAATCTGTTTGGAAACAATAACTGCAGGAAGGTCTCACTGTCTCACTGTCTCAGTCTTAGAGTGAATTTTTATCACCTTGAAGTAATTTTCCACTAATTATGTTGAGATGTTTTGAGGGGAAATGTGACATGTGTCTGCCATTTAGATAAGATAATTATTTTTGTTTTACATTTATTACTATTTCTCTAGAGTGACGTACCAATTGATCTTCTGGATGTGGACAAGAATTCTGCAGTGGTCAGTTACAGTGCTTGTGATATTGAGGTAAATGATGGCTTTCTTAGCACATACTTCACTGACTAGTATTAAGTTAAGACCTTGCATGTACATGCAGTATGAAGAATTCTGTATACAGCTATGATGATGAGTGTTTCAATTTTCTTTCAGAATGGCAACTTTCTTCTTGCAACTTACAGATGTCAGGCAAACACAACAAGGCTGGAATTAAAAGTTTGAAGGACTTTTCAAATCTTTTTACCAGTGCTAACTTAATGACACAAATCACATCAGCATTGTACTACATGAAAAGGAGACAGGACTCAGAAATTTCTTGGCATTTCTAACCTGAGAGAAGAATCCGTCCAGTTGCTGATGAGAGATGACATTTAACCCTCATTTTAAATTTCACTCAGACATTTTACAATTAAAGCTTTCTCACCTCCATTTCATTAAATTCCAGATCAGATCAATTGAAGGACAGTATGGAACTTTGCAGGCATATATCACACCCAGGATTCAGCCCAAGACCTGCCAAGTGCGACAATACAGTATCAAACCACTCTCACTGCACCAGAGAACTCATGTGTTTGACGAGTCCAAGTAAGACCTCATAAAAGTTGGATTCCAATTATTGACAATCATGTGATTGTTGTTGTTTTGCAGTCAAGATCTCAGTTCCTGAAGTTGTCCTAAGTTTTGTGGTCTGATTATGTTTTCAAAAGTTTCTTGAAAGGTTACATGTAAAAGAAGTCTTTTGATTTTCAGTTTTTATGAAGTTTCCAGTTTAAACTTAATTTTCCCCTTTGTGTTTCATTCAGGCCAATGAACTCATTGAAGTTAATGGGCCATTTCAGTTTTGCAGAAGTTCATTCCTGGGTTTGTTTCTGTCTCCCAGAAGTGCCAGACAGGTTTGTTAACTTAAGAAAGAGATTTATCCATAGTAAGTATACATTAAACCTTTCCTTGAGCAATCATGATGAAAAATCACAACATGCCAATAGCAAAATCAGAAATACATTCATTTAAGATAATTAACCAGAAACTTATATTTGTAGTTTTCTATCTGTGATATCAATGAAGTCACAACATTGATGTTATCTCTGTTTTTGTTGCAGAACTCCTGCTGGAGAGCAAGTGAGCTTTCATTTCCTGTCGACATTCCTTGATACACAGTTAGACTGCCAGTACAAGTACGTATTTGTTTAACAAATTTCTGTCATCAAACGTACTTTACATTAGATTTCTGTATGTCTCTAGTTGGTGCAATGCTCTTAGTTTTTCAGTGTAGAGTCAGAGTCTTATGTATGTCTTTTATTTCTTTGCAGAAAAGGAGAAGCCATCTTTAAATCTGACAATATCTCAACAATATCAATCCTCAAAGATGTCCTCACTAAAGAAGCTACTAAACGAAAAATCAACCTCAATATTTCTTATGGTTTGCTTAATTTTCTTACTTTATTTATTTCATTGCCTTTCTTATCTTAGTTTAATCAGAGGTATACTCTTGGCTTGTTGTGTGATGACCCCCCTCTGTTTCAAAATGTCCATAGCCTTTGAATTAGCAGGAGTTTTACAGGTTCCATCCTCTTTTCAGATGTACCTCTTAGTCACACCTACTTGAAATTTGTCATTTCAGATCTCAATGAAGATTCTGTGGTCCACACACTGAACCTTATACATCCAAAGTTGGAATATCAGCTCTTGCTGGCCAAGAAAGTCCAACTCATTGAGGGACTAAAGGTCAGTGCGTATATGGCTTATAGCTATTGTTTCTTGCAGAAACATAAAATTGATGATGGTGGATTTCTTTTTTTCTTAGAGTAACCTGACACTTTTGCCTTTTAGGAACTACAGATGCATGAAAGTGATATTGGATTTTTTGCTCCAGAATACCAAAAAATTCTTGGTAAGACAAATTTTTACTGAAATGTATTATAAAGGGTAATGAAGTCTCAGAAAGGCAATTATTGCATTTCAAAAATATGCTAAGGCATCCTCTTTAAGGTTGAAATAGGAATTTCCCAATGATAAAGATAGGAGGTAAATGATATTTTCTACACTTTTAGTATCCTTAGTATTCTGAGGCATGCTTTTTTTCGGAGAAAACCATACACATAAATCTCTAATAAATTCATAAATATTTTCTGTAAAGATGATGCAGAAAACCTCCAAGCAGAATACAAGAAGCAGCCCTGCCACTTGGAAAGACTCTATGGTATCCTTCATAGAAATCCATTTTACTAGGAATTTATTCAGTTGTTACAATCTTACATGGAATCTTAAATCTTGACTTTTCAGATAATTGATTTGGATATAAAAGCTTTTTAAGGGTCTGGTCAAAAAGAATTCAAGGTAATATGGTAAAAAACCAAGGTTGCCAAAGGGTTATCACCAAAAGTTTTGAGAGTTAAGTACACTTTACTTGAGATGAAAATTGTTCAACCCTCCAAAAACTAAATGCCATGATCCTGTTATGCGAAATGGCCAAACAATCAGCAGTAAAGAGAAATAGTAAAACAGAAGCTCAACCAGTAATACTTTCACAGAGCTGTGGTAAAGACAATAAATATCTTTTCTTGTTTGGTATCATTTCTTAACAAGTTTAAGGTATGATTACTGATCTCTACATAGACAAGTTCAAGTTCAAGGTAAGAATTGCAATACTTATGTAAACAAACCTTTTATTTTGACCATTACCTGTTGGTCAAAGGTGACTCTTCTGGTTTTCAGAGGGTTTCTGTACAAATAATCCAGTTATGAACATATTGTGTTACATGTTGATTCTGCAGTTACACTATTTTAATCAACAATGGAAATATCTCATGTTGATAAATCTTGATAATTTAATTCTAGGGAATGAATGTGAAAAGCAAGGTTCCCATTCTTCTAGAGGTGCTGGACAATTATGATCTACAAAATCTTGTGGAATTCTTTGAAGCAGCATAAGCGATCACCCTTCTTTGCTTCTAAGCTTAAAATCCTGTAAGTGCACATTTCAGAAATAGGTGTACAACAGAAACAATCATCAACTTTCCCGCAACTGACTACATGTACTTCAAGATTGTAACCTTAGTTCAGAATGAACCAACTTTAAATCTCCTAGATGATTTAATGCATCCTTGATTGATTGGTTTCTATTTCCCTGATTTGTATGTTTGTCAATTTTATTTCAAGATTTTTGTTCATAAAGAGTGATTGGTCAATTCTAACAACATTCTACTACCAAATAATTCTTTTCTTGATTGTAATGATAACTTAGTCCAGGTTTTGCAACATCAGTCATTTAGAACCATCATTCACCTTAGTTCTTTGATTTAAGAAGCCACATCTCAATCATTGAACCATATAGCTGACTGTACACAAGACTATTTACTTCCTACAATTAACTGTGCAATTTTTTTAAGGTAATTTATTTATTTATTTGTAATTATTGTAAATAGTGATGCGGTTGGTTTGTAGTCTAACCTGCACAGCTTTAAAAATATATGATCACTTATAAAAATGTTCATGGAAGTGATTGTAGTCGGATAAGTTGTCAACAATTACCTACCCAAGCGTTTTAATACGAGGTTTAATGACATAAGAAATGATGTGCTTCTTATATGAAAGTATACAGGTTTCCACTTCATCTTTTCAGTTCCAGCTGATAAATATAAACATTCGAAACTCATTCAGCTTATCTACCAAAATTCCTCACGAAAAGCCTCCCAGCAACAGTCGTTCCAATGACCTGGATCTACTCTTTATACCAACTCCTATTTCTCGCCACTTTCTCGATATCCTACAAACTACTTTGCGTTGCCGCAATTTCAAGTATTGTACATGAATCCATCGATACTTTTAGCAGGTGCAATCAACATTCGTGGAACTTAAAGGAAGATTAAGCAGGAATAAGGTACGATCTTATTAAAATATGCGGCTAAGGTATGTCAGAGAATCTTTAGTTTAGCTGCTGCTATAACCAGCTGTCGCCGTGACTTGAAACAGGAAACTCAAATTACGTGATGTTCTCGTTGTCGCCAATTCCGCTTCATCGGTTCCATCGATTCTCAGCTGCACAGAAACCGACTTTATAGACTCGAGTCAGTGTCATCACCCTCACTGTTTGCTTCTCCGCCAGTTACCCAATATCCTACAGCCCATAATTAGGGTTTCTTTTTACTTAGAGCATCTCGCACAGACTGCATGAATCTCTGACCCATCTCCTCAACGTTTGGAATTCCTTGGTAATTTTGTTGTATATATGCTCCTGTTAACGTGCCAGCAACAAGTCCCAGCACCAGCGTTTTGTTAATATGAGAAAAAATAACTCCAGCCGCAAAACCTTTAAGAAATGAGTAATCAAGAGGCGGTTTCTTCAGACTATCATCTCCTTCGGGAGCCATCTTGATCGTTCCTCTAATTGAGATCCAGGCCCTCTCGAGTAATGACTCATTCCCTGTTTCTCAAGGTCAGAATTTACTGAAGAAGGAAGGGGGGGTGGGAGAGAAGACGATTTTGGTGAGGAAATTAATTACGTTGTATTTGTAAAACAGAATATGATCAACTCAGGATAACTTTATGATTAATTATGAATTTTTTTTAATTGGAACAAGTTTGATTCTCCCATTGTCTAATTCAACAGCCTCAACTCCCAGCTCTCTTAGCCGTGAAGTGTCAGCTAGCCCTTGGCAATCCATGGCTGAAACAATTCTTTGGTTTTCTTTATTATTCTCTAAGAGGTTTCTGATTGCAAAGATGGCCCACTGACAGATGACTGAACTCAAGGTCAAGGAAGAAAGAATAAACAAAGATGGTCAGGAAAATATAATGAGCCAAAAAAAACAACCCCCCACAAATGTACAGTAGATCATAAAGTTAGAGCTCTTCTTCAAATGCCTTGCCATTCATTTTGATGTAATCCTTCTCAAAGCTGATTCTGTAGTGAGCCAAATGAAATTCTGAGTACAGTGCAAAATAATAACCAATTAAAATTGGAAAGGATACAAGGATTGTGATCATCCACATTACAGTGATCCAGTAGTAATGGAATTCCTCCTAGGTCACGTACCTGCAACAATGTACACAATAATTAAACACAATCTGTGATGAGCATTTAATTAAAAATAATTCTCCTAATGATATATAATTCTTCTAAAGCTGCAAGGAAAATTTTACCACTCAAAAAACATCTTTACCTTGTTCTGATTGGCTGCATGTTTGTAACACATATTCCCTATGACTCGCACTAGATCTCTCTGAAAGCCGTGACTAGGACTCAGTTTCCCAGAGTCTACACCTTGTGGTATGGAGTGTGCATTGCTGAAAGTTTCCTTTACCTCTGAATTAGTAGTCTCCTTTAATAAGCCTAAAACATAGTTTTTTTTGGAAATAAAAAACTGTCATTTCCTCTCTATATACAAAACAAATATTAAGAGCTACTATATACATCAGTGTAAAAGGTAAGAGAGTACTTTAAAAAACTAAAAAAAGTACATGTATTTCTCTCTGATACATGAATGTGTGAATTTGGTAAATTAATACCAATATCCCCTCACATAATTGTCACTTATACAACTGTATTGCTTCTCCTTCATGGTCCCTCTTCCTCAAACCACGAGCAGCAACCCTCCCAAAAGTCATTTAACAGCTGAAGGCTAAGGCCTATGGTCATTTACAAAAGCATTGGCCCAGGGTCCTTTTTGACCAGACACAATAAAACTTTCAACAAACCTACACAGGTGGTAAGTAATGGGGTTCTTTCTTGTAGACCAGTGAGGTTTGATTGTAGTCCTGTGCCAATGGATAATACACTTAACAGCCGCGTAATGATCAAGACCTGAAACTAAATACAGGGACAAGTGATTACCAATTTGCAAACATAATATAAGACAAATCAAGATATACATATATAGATTTTTGCAAAAATACAAATCTAAAATTACATACAAAGTCATCAGATGATGGACTCAGCTGTTGTAGTTGTTGTATAATGTCTTCAGCCTGCTTTTCAAACTCATCAGCAATGTAAGCTAAGGAGTCTGTATAAAAACCATGTTTCACATGTTCTTCTCTTAATTTGATACTTGGCTCATCTAAAGCATCTGTGAAAATTCAATAACAAAAAATAACACTTGAATTGATGTACCAACTACCGGTAACCTGATAGCAAAGGGTTACCTGCTTCTAGACAAAATTAAACACTGATGTATGTCTGTAACAGACATGCAACAGGCATGGTAATTAGTGAAAGTAAAAATAGGTGGGCCATAACTCAGCCCCTACCTGAAAAAAAAAAAAAGAAAGAAAAACAAGAAGAATAAGAATAAGAAGCGACAGAATAGTTGAAGAAGTCATTATCCAGCTTACAATCAACTAACATAACAATGACAGATGACATTTTTGCTTAATAGGAGAGTTAGCCAACATCTGTATGTTTGTACCCAGAGACTCTCTTTTGCCATGCACATGCCAAATAAAACCAAAAAACTAAACTGCTATTATAAACAGTATTTAACTTCCTTTACCTGTTATTTTGACTTGAATCAAGTCTAGTAAGATTATCCTGAAAAGGTTAAAACAACAGTTATCAATCAAAAATACTTTTGTGATGCAAAAATTTGGAGGAAAAGTTTTTTTAGTTGGCTGTAACATTTAAACCAAAATTAATTTTGAATGTCTGCTAACATTTGCTTATCCTTATGGACTGTTACTAACTAAACAGTAAGAAAATAAAATGCTTGCATTTCTCTTTTGCACACAATTTGAGCCATGAGGCAACTCTTTTATGTCAGACGGCTTCAGTAAATGTGCTGCTGTTACGATAATGAGAAAAAGTCTTTAATCATAGAAGGATGACTGACTGAGCCAACCATTTCAGAGAGCTGTTAATTCAGTTGTGTAATATGTCTCTATGTATCTAGATACATTCTGTTTCAAAACGTAAAGAATTATTAAATAGATTAAAGCAACCACTGGTTGGTGTAGAAAAATATGATCTTACCTAGCTAATGGATCAAATTCAATTCCTTTGTATATCTCAGGTAATAGTGCATTGCAGATCAAATAATCTAATATAAAATACCTGAAACAAACAAATTAAAAATGTAATCAAAAGACACAGATGCAGCTCATGATATGGAATGAAGAGTTGTAAATCAGCCATGAGACATACGAACCCCCATTCAAGTTGAGACTTTTCAGCACACAAATGTATAACATGGGTGATCATCTTGAGTCCATCATGAGCACTTACTAGCTGAATCCTGTCATTGATTGAATATTAAAATACAATAATGAAAGAAAAATCAAGTTTAAATAATTTCTTATTTATTTAAAAATGAAAACAACAGTTCTTGCTCCTAAGTTACCTGTGCTGCTCATTCAAGCAGTTGTAAATAATCATGCACAAGCAGTCCTGTATGTTGCGATTAACTGAAGACAGCACACTCCTGTGAGGTATATACATACAAATCAGCTAAATACAAGGCCTTGAAATTCTTTGGTGGGGCAATTTGCAACAACTCATGAGTTTGAATCTTAAAGTTACAGATAAACATATTAGGATACTTACAAGAAGAAGTTTGGGAAGCACATATTCCATACAAACTGCTGAGTAGCATCATTTTTCACCACTGTGTTTCCCAGAAGCTGAAGACTACTCTTTACAGCATCATTAACTGCATCTGATGCTAGAAGACATTTTAAGTAAAAGTACCAGATTTTAGCTGTAAATACATTCTCTGTCACAATGGTAACCAAACATACCCTACATATATAAGGCCCAATAGTAAGCAACTCTCACAAGTTGGTAAGATGGGTAAGTCTTACATGAAAATAAAAATTTTCTTCAATCAATAAATTATCATTCAGAAAAAACCAACAATTGTTTTATATGGTTCACCTCTTTCATTCTCTTGGAACTTTGGTTTTAGCAAAAGCACATTTGTATTAAGTACTTCCTCGATAACTCCTAACGATCTGTCAATAAAATCATATATCATGCATTTAGATGTTTTTCTGGATAACGAACTTGACCTCTGTGAAAGAAACGAATGATAAAAAAAACTAGCAGGATGTACTTACACTATACTGTTCTGATTCTTGGGTGTTGCCGCACAGCAGTTTCTCAGGAATCTAAAAGCTTCTGCTGAAGCTCTAAGGCAAAGGATCAGCTGATTTTCTTCTAATTCACCTGTTTGTGCACACATGCTATTTTTACAGGCCGTTATAATATCTTTCATCTGCAAAATATTCGTCTCTGATACCATAAATCTATGACATGCAAACCATGAAAAAGTAAGAAATATGATATATGTTATAATATTGAACTCAGATCTTCGAATCTATCGTTTTGATTTGAAGGTACTTTCAAGCCCAAGCCGTAAGTATCAGTGTATCAAGAATTTCGACGTTATAAGAAAATCACAGAGCACGACAAATTGTGCGACAGACGGACTTTTGATCATACCTGTTTTCTTCAGCCACCGCCCATGTCTTAAGTCTTTCCAACGTAGCTTTAACCTCAGTCCACGAATTTTTTGAGTAATTTAGTTTTCTCGTCAATGCTCCCAGTTCTGAAAGTGCGTTGTCTCCGTCCGCCATGTTGAAAGTTGAAAAGAAGTGCGTGGTATAACAGTAGCATAATGGTCTGCTCAGAACAAGCACTCAGATAGGTCTGCATAGGCATGCAAGCAAATCTATCAGAGTTTGAAATGTTTACCCTGGAGTAAACTTTTCAGTTTTCAAAACCAGTTGACTCTAAATCCTAATCATCTCAGACTGCTCTGATTCTATAGCCAGTCCCAGATCGAGGGGAGACTTGCATTGAATGCGGTTTTCACCGCTACAAAAACAAGTCTTTGAAGTTGTAGAGTACTCATAGGTCAAGTGATTACTCTCATTCCTCTAATTCAACTGTCTTTTATTCAATAATCAAGATAATATATTTAGCGTACAATACTCGAAATCAGTTATTTTGCTTCCACTTGGGAGAGTAGATTTACGGCACGATTGGAAGTTCCTTACAGTAGTGACGCTATGTGACCCTATGTAACGCAATACACTACATAAGTAATATTCTTCTGAGAGTCGAAGGGGAGTGCAAAGATGTTTGCAAGGTAAAAACGGCTACAGACATGAGGTTTTTTTTTCTTACACGGCTCAGCTTACAAACTGACATAAAATTGTTCGCTTTAACCAGCATCTCGTGTAGTAAGGCAAAATCTTATAACAACTTAAGTAACTCAACTTGAAAAATTATTTAAAATCTAGGCACTCATGATATTAATTGTGAATAAAATTTATTTGTGTAGATCGCAAACTTTGGAAGTAGGTTACAGACGAATAAGTCCAAGAATGAATAAATGAAAAAACATATTGGTTAGAGGTAGGCACTTAAACCGGCTGCGCGGTCGCTACTCCCTTAAAAAAGTGCTTCTCTTCCTTAACTAAACGAGTACACTGTACATTATTTTAATTTATACAGAGTTTGACTCCAGCGTTTGTATCTGGAGGGGTCTTATATGAATCAGTCGAACATGACGAGTTCCTTCCAACTTGAATTCGACGTCATCTGACTCAATGCTTTGGGTCTTCTTTGTAATTACGCATGCCTTCAAAATGGAGTACGCTGACTTGAATAGCACAAGCCTATAGCCCGCGTCACATAATGGGACCAGAGAAGAGATTGAGGACTGGAAGAAAATCAGCCACGGAAGTAAGGGTCCTAACCCCTGGGAGGAGTGAACTGAAGTGAGTTGTAACGTCACTGAAAAATATGTAGGGAGCCAACTCAGCATGGCCACGCAAGATTTTAGCACAAGATAACGTGATAGAGATTGCCGTTGCTTAAGAGATGTGAAAGGAGGAAGAATTACTCGCGGGTTTTGGAAAACTCGTTTCCTCGGGAGTTTGTGGGAGATTCTTGACGAGATAGCGAACGGATCCCTTGGATTTGAAGGACGTCGGGTTTCCCATTCGGCCTCCTTCACTAAACTGTTGACAGGGTGTGCGAAGACATTCATTTTCTTTCCAGTGCCTCCATTCGCACCAGTTCCTGGAGTGGTCAAGCTTTTTCCGTCTAGGTTTCCCTGGCGGAGAAGAACTTCTAATAAAAGATTCTCTTGGTGCAAACGAGATTGATACGAAGACTTCCTCGAAGCTAGAGGAGTTGCAGTAACAGACGTAACACCAGACCTTCCGCTTGACCGCCTAGACCAGTATGACCTGTTCGACCGGCTTGTGCCACGTGACTGACTTGATCTTGAGCTGGTGGCTGTTGTCATTTCAGGGTCGTTTATCTTCATCTCGCATATATGTCGCTCCCAGAGGAGCAGTACTGGGTACCACCGACGATGTCTCAATGCTTTGATAGCAAGAAAGATAGTTACGGAATGAAGAGCGAAAGAACACCCGAGATAGAGGATAGAATAGTTTGAGGGAGTTTGATCATAGTTGAACAGAATATGAGAATGTGACTGAGGGAGACCGTTGTAAGAACTCCAACCAACAATTGGTGGAAGGCTGAAAAGAAATCCCATTGACAAGTTCAAGGCAAGGAAAACAACTACTCTTCTCTTAGCCTGACGTTTTCTAGTGAAAGGAAATTGAAGTTGTATTTTTTGACAAAACACAGCAAGAAAGAAAAGCACCAAAAGAGAAGTGATATGTACCCAGGAGCTCAGAAGGTTCAGGCTCTGACAGAGTGTCTTATTGTGTTCCCACCACACCGGGTCTGTAACAAGAGTCACGAGGGAGAGCCCAGGGCCAAGCAGTGTGGCCGTGAAGTCGAGTACAGCTAAAACTGTTATGTGAGGACATCTTAGGGTCGAACGATAAGAAATGAAGGGAATGGCAAGATTTCCACTGACACCTAACAACACCAGAGCACTGGCGAGTAGAAGTTGGAGGGTACTGGGAACGATGAACATGATTCGCTGGTAAGAAGTCACGTGAAACACCGGTCAAGAGGTCAACTATCTGAAGAATAAAACCACAACATCAGAAATTAATTCAAATTTAAATTTTTCCGACGCGGCGAGGAAAGAAAGAAAACTGGTGAAGTCCGTAAATGAAGGGGCAGTCACCACAATAAAACAGATTGATGGGCAGTTTACGTGTTTTGTAGATTCTCCGAAAAAAAATTACTTGTGTAATGAAAACAGGGGTGAATGAGGCCTTATGTTTTGAGGAACAAACTGAGTCCTAGGGCGAGTTTCATGTTTACTCAAGGTAGTTTCATTCGTTATTAATTTGGATTTCATCGGTTGTGTTCAAAGTACTTTGCACGCAACAAATGCACATTGGAGAATTCAAAGTGCACATTTGGATGGTATCTGTTTGCCGAATAATTTTCATTACCGAAAATGACAAACTTTCAAAATCTTCCGATTGATGGTAAGAATGTTTCGAAACAGGCAAGACACTCTGATCACTAATAAATTATGGCCGCGGGTGGAACAATATCGCGGAATATGAACAGCAGCGGAAATCCTAATGTATTTCGTGAAAAAAAACAAAACAAAACAAAACAAAAATAGTTATGTTTTGGATTATAGATAACATCTATGATCACATGGTTCGAGATCAAATTTTACCTCTTGTTTGTGTTCCCAAAATACCAGTTAAGCCAGCAGCGACGCTCGCCTTTCTTGTTGCCCTTTACTGCGAAGGAAAGTGTGGGATGAAGGGCAAGGTGCACAGACTTTAAAAACAGTCAAACCATTATTAGGAAAAAGAAGATGATAAAGAAAGTCAATTTACGGCGTTTACTACCTCAATCAGAATATAAATTAACAGAATAATTGAATTAAATCAAACGCCAATTTATTAGAGAAGGGTACAATAGTCTCCTTATGGGTAATTGACAAACCGTGGCCATGAATACGAAAAGTAATTTCCAATCTAATTTTCACTGTGCCTGGATTCTTGAGTGGGAAAGCAGACTTAAGAAATGAAATAATATATTGACCTTTTTTTTTTAAACAATAACGCCATAACGTTGCAATTATAACTAACAAAGTGCTGATTTTGTGCTTGGAAAATTAACAGCGATAGGATTGCACAGAAAATTGTTACTGATTACCTTTATATCATTATTCCTCTGAGAGCGAGTTCCCTTCTTTGTACAGATGTGACGTAACATTAAAAACCGAGTATGTTTTGCCCTAACGAAAACATTGTTGATCCTTGATAAACAAATTATGATTTGCCAATTACATCGTTGGATGCCAATTAACGAATTAATTTCTGTTTAATTATCATAACAGAGAAGAACTTGCCGTGTAAATAACTAATTATTGTTTCAAGGTCTTATTAATTAGTTTCAGTTTTGATGTAGCCGTAGTTTAGAAATGATACAATTAATATTACAGTGAAGAAAAAGAGGAAAAACTAAATCACGACGAACTGGGGGGCAAAAACTAAAATGAGGAATATCAAATATTCATTATCTGTGATGGGAATGTATTTCTCTCTTTCTTTTCCATCAAGAAAGTGAAAGAATTATCATATCTAAATAACAAAAATCTGCGACAAGCGAAAGTTGGCGCGCAACACGAAAACATGTCCGGGGTACCGCGCCCCTTCTCACTCGTAGGTCCCGTTCAGCGATAATTTTGTTTTATGCTTGCTCGCCGAACTTCGCCGAGATTAAGGCATTGAATTGTTGAAACAGTAACCTGTATGAAGAAAATCGAGAGGCGTACTTGCAGAAATGGGCATGATTAAGTAGGCCACCAAATATGAGTTTAATTCCCTTGACTCTCAAAATCAGAGACTGTAAGATTCTCGAGCATACAATGATCAAGTAATAAGTACAGTTATATTTACGAAAATAATAAATCATTTCCATGGTATGAAGTTCTCTTGAATATCTGAGTTTCTTATGCCGGAGGTGTATGTAAAATTCTCTATCCACCCTTCTTGTTGGTGTTTTTCAGACCGTGAATCTCCTCTGCCTTTTTCTGACCAGCGGTTCATTTACTTGGCATTGCTCATGCGTAGTGTAGTCAACCGTGTAAGCTCTCTTTCTTTGTTTTTCCCGCATGTCGTACCCATTACTTTTCGGTTTGAACTCCTCCTGCTGCTGATACCGGTTAAACTTTTCAAAGATGATTGGCAAGAAGGGTGTGATGAGTAAAGCTCCAGACACTGAACACACTCCACCTGTTATCTTACCCCCTGTTAGACAACATCAAGAAATTGTTAGGATTGTCTGTCTGAGTACCAGTCCAGCAGTGTGATAGAGAAAATAAGTGTTATTTATTGATTACAAAGCCACTCGAATTTCCTGTGATCGTGGAGTTGTCATGGTGAAAATAAGCACGTGAGACCTTACATGGCTTGGTGTATAAGAAGAAACACATAATCTACTTAAGCCTTTTACTCCTTTTTCCCCAAAATATCAAAGCATTGTCCAGAAAACAGGTTGTAAAAAAAAGTCTTATTTTGATAAGACACTAAAGATTTTGGATAACTCAAAAGGAAAAGTATGGAATTAGCTAAGGAGAAATCCTTATAAGGTATTTGGATACTTCATGAGCCAATAGCCCTTTAATTAATCATCATCCCGATGTAAGATAGCGCAAAAGTGAGAGATGCTTGAATTGAAGTAACTATACTCTGAAACCCACGATCAGAAAATTGTAAACAACAGAAACCATGATGTTTCAGCAAAGTAATTAGTTTGTGGTTTTGGGTTTGATCGCGTGCACTGAACTTTATCAAGATCGACCAGTACACAATTGACCTCTCAGGTTCAAATAAAAGCGTTCACGGTTTGCCGGATCTCAATTTGATAAGAAAGTAACCCAAACCACTGAAGAATGTATAGAAAACTAGGCTAAGAAACAGCCCCACGAGTGATATTTCATTCTTACCTAGTGTTTTAGGAACGATATCTCCATAGCCGAGCGTTGTTATGGTAACCATAGCCCACCAACAGCTCACCGGGATACTCTCAAACTTAGTCCCCTCGTGCCACTGTTCACAATAGTAAGCTATGCTCCCAAAGAGAACAGTTCCAATAATGTTCAGAAATAACATTGTCCAGAGGTCACCAATACTGTCCTTGAAAGTTTTTCCCAGTACTTTCATAGTAGTAACATAGCGAGATATTTTTAATACTCTAAAAACTCTTGACAAACGGAGAATACGCAAAATGTACAATGAGACGCGAATAGATCCAAAGGATATAAACAACGAGATGTAGAATGGAACAATGACTACTAAATCGATGATATTCAAAGCTTGAACAAAAAACTTTCGTTTTTCTGGAGAAACGGAAAATCGTGCAATGAGTTCCAAAGTAAACCATGAAATACAAGAAGCCTCCAAGATATGAATGATCTCTATTTTTTGTGTCTTTGTGGAATGGTTGCCATAACTCGAGTTCTTTGATGTGTTCGATGCAGCATTTGATGCCAAGGTCACGGGTTTGTAGTTCCTGAAGGTAGGGAGAGTATCAACACACAGGATTATAGCTGAACAGACAATAACGAGTAAAGAGAACAAGTTCACCAGCCTAGCTAGTGCGTTTGAATCTGGAATTTCACAGATCTTCCATACTTCTCTTTGACACTTTCTTAAAGGCATAACTTGTCTCTTGGTCAAAGCACTTGGCAAGGCTAATTTTGTCTTTTTGATATCTTCGTTAATGTACTCATATAGCCCAAAAAAGTAAAGCTCATCCGCCAGAAGCTGTTCTGGAAAGTTTTCGTCGGGAAACATCAATCGTCCCTTTGACACGTAGAAATGGAACACGGTTTCGAACGCTGTTCGATTCCTGTCGAAGAACAGTTCGTCGCGTATAGAATCGTAGAAAAAAGCTCGTTTTCTACGATGCGCCAGTAGACTGTTGGGAAATAGAGATAACAATCTTCCAGTGAAGAAGTATTTCTTTCCACTGACGTTCACAGTAATTCCATCATTTCGATCACTCACTTTTCTCTTTTTGCTGCTGTATGGTTGGATGATCGAGTGTTTGGAAGGCTCTTCAAAGCGGTTAAATATATGGGGCTGCGTCAAGCTGACAGCTCTTCGTCCCCTTCTTTTCGGCGCTCTCCTGGGTAATCCTTGTCCGTATAAATGAAGCATGTTGGTGTTTTGATGAGAAACGGTAGACGTGACACAGGTGTTCCGAGTTAGGTAAGACTGATCGTCTTGTATCGTGCGATGTTGTTATTTAAGCTGTTTTTCTAACAGCGGTGCAGATTTCTAGAATAATTAGTCACGCGACACAGATTTCCAAAGATGACTGATTTTTTTGACAAGATATGTGAATAGATTAAGGATCAAGAATTGACTCTTGATAAGAATTGCAGCGAAAAAAAAATTCTGATCAGATTCTAAAAATGCATGGAAGCGTACTTCAGTGCTAATCGAAAGAGGAGTCAGTATCAAGTGTGCACTCCTTCCATTAGGTTATTTTAAAGCGACAGCGGCTCTTAAGATACTAAGTGATTCGTAAACAATATAAATGAAGTAAGCTATTTTTAGGATTAATTTTATGGGCGTACAAAACTTAAAAATATTAAGAATTAATTTTGCGAAAGAGCATTTCCCTTTTTATGATAACTCAATTACTGAACGGATCCGATAAAGATCATTAACCTTTGCAAAAATTAAAAATGTTTCGAGACTCACTACTACTGAAATCGTTCTTAATAACCTTCTAATGCATCACCGACGTTCGATAGAATTGTTATCTTTTAAACGTATAAATAACCTCTAACCTGTTCGTTTCATATCAAACTGTTAAGTCTGGTACCTAATGAAGCATGTTCAAAGATGGCAACTTATAACACCTGATTTATGATCAAGATTTTACGTCCGAGTTTTACTAACTTGTATGCCTTGTCCAGGAAAATCAGGAGTTTGGAATGCAAGTGACTAAAACATGGAAATGCGTTTAAGGGCGAGCAACGCACTAATGTTTGATCCCCTGATGGCCAGGAGTGATAAACTGATAAAGTTCAGGACCGGAATGCTTTATTAAAGCTCACATTCATTGAAATTGCCTTCTAAATTTATCAGTGTTTTGACGTTGATTGACAGTAATTGTCCACATTTTTATTGCGTAGTAGAGGTTCTAGAATTCTTGATCATATCGGAGTAAATAGGATTTTACGTATTACACGTGTTTTCCATAAGAAATTCTATTTCTGTACGTCAGCAAGAACTGAAAGAATCTTAGTATACTGAGTTTTCGTGCGCAATCAAAAGGTTCGACCCAGTCAAAATTCTGTGGAATTTTCAGCTCGATAATTTCAAGTACCTGTAATTTGGTTAGGATCCGAATTGAAATTGACCAAAACGTAGTATACTTTAGAAAACAAAAACCTGTGCACCGCTCAAAAATGTTCAAAATCAATTTTGGTTCTTTCGTTTTATGCCAAATTATAGTCCATTTTCACACTAATTTATGCGATATATATTTGTTAGAGATTATTACGCTCTTTCTGGCATATGAGCTTGTTATAATAAGGCACCTGTCAAACGTCACTTAGGCGACATGGAGCAGGTACCCTCATTACCAGCTAAACCTGAGAACGAAACTTCATTCCCTGGTTCTAAATTGATGAGTTCTCCTTTTGCAGGCTGCTCTTGAATCCTCAGCAAAGTTTCCAATGAGGGAAAATTCAGCCATTTTTAGCGTAATTGTCTTTGGTCTCATTCTCAGCACACTTGGCGATCAAGGTATCAAACATGTAATGCCTACTGTGACGGTATTAACTTCTTGAGGATAAAACTTAGGCTTGTTAGTGACATCTGGTATGATTTGACAGTCGTTTCTTCGGTGTTGAGGAAGTGCCTTGTACATACGTTCGCGGTCATAAACATTGTCCAAATTATCTTTCAACTTTGTTATAATTGTTAGATCTGATGAATATGTGGACGTTGGAAGTATGTTCTAGGTTCCCCTTTTTCAATGAATGGATTGGAAATGTACCAAAATTCTGAAAAAGGAACTTGGAACCTTTCGCTTCTTGGACAATTTTGACATTGCACGCGACATTTGAATTCAAGTGTTGCAAGTGTTGCAAAATATAATTACGCCTTATGAAGTTTCGGGCCGTTGGAAAATATCGATTTCCCGAAAAAATGGAAAGCAGCGTTTTTGCAAGCGGAACAACAACTAATGGAAAACATTATTAAAAATCCGCAGATTGTTCGCTCAGGAAAGGCAACAAGAACGAAAAGATTCTGCGACGAATCTTGTTTGCAAACTACAGCAAGAACCAGCGTCCTACGACTCCAGTGCATATCTCTCTACACCTGGTTGTTTCCAATCTTGATGAAGTGGTAAGTGAATCCCGACTGGAATTGGGCCAAAATAACATCAATTAAAGTTCAAATTTGTAAAACACGTCTCCAAATTGCGTCCTTTTGACTCATTGTTCAGCTTTAAAACGTTAATTTCTAATACCAGTTGCATTAAAAATAAAAACATTTTATTGAGATATTCGGGAAATTGCCAAAGAATTGAATTTCCCCTTTTAAATATATTGACATTAAATCCATTCCTTTCTCAACCTCAACTTTAAGCTAAGTATTTTCATTCTTCATCATGAATTTCAGCCTCCTTAGGAAAAGTTATTTTCAGGATTTGCAAACTTAACTAAAATTTTGCTGGAACCTTTTCTAATGATTGAACAAGTGAGACTAATCTTTGTTGCCGCTATGTATTTTGAATTAAGGATCCGAAGAAGGAAGAAATTGGTTTAGCAATTTGGCTTCGAATGGTGAGCATGTCTTGGGAAATATCTTTATAACAAGACACTTAGTGACAAGAGAGGAACTTAAACTTAAACGTTTGGTTGAGAGTCCTCATTTGAGAACAACTCAAAGGGACCCGAGTTGGAACTCTTTCCTTCAACAGAATTTTTTTTTCTCACGAGGAGGGAAGAAAGCAGATTTTGCCACAATTTCTATCATTCGATCTGGTTTCGTTGTGATTGTGAGGTGAAAGTCATCATTAGAACTTTCTGATGTGTTTTTGTAACGCACAGCTTGCAGAACGAGTAAGTGAATGAGTGAATGAATGAGAAAGTTTTTATAAATGATTATTTACGTACATTAAACTCCTTTTTATCAATTTTTCCACAGTTATCCTTCAATGTAACAGAAATTTGTTGTACCTCACGAAACATACCATGAAGATTAAATAACTTGATATTTAGATTGCAAAATGTCTTCCTAAACTTTCCTTTCATTTCCAATCTAACTTTAGTTCTGGATGGATAACCGCTTACGATGGAACGCAACCCAGCACAATATCACATCTCTTACCTTAGATTTCAAGGAGGTCTGGACCCCAGACATGGTTCTTTATAACGCGTGAGTACAGTTCATAGGCGGTCCTGTGATTTGCCACTGAGGAAACCAGTTGAATCTTTCTTTCCCTATTCTTTCCTACTTCGCTTTTGTAGAGTTGGTGCCGTCAGAGATTTTGGTTTATCAAGCGATGACGATCTACCCATGGGCCTTATCGTTTATAGCAGCGGTAGTATCTTCTTCTCCCAGCCAACGAACATCCGTAGCGCATGCGCGTTAAACGTTGCCGACTTTCCTTTTGACGATCAGACTTGCCAATTGACGTTTGGTTCATGGACTATGGACTCCAGCCTTGTGATGCTGGACCTGCGCAAAGAAGGAATCGACATGACGCAATTTGTAAAAAACAGCAAATGGGATGTACTTCAAATATCTCCTGAAGTACGCATGCACGACAATTTTCAGGACAACGATTTTTCTCTTGTGGTGTATACCATAATGGTCAGGCGAAAATCACTTTTCTTTATTGTCAATTACCTCATTCCTTCGGTAGTTATTTTGGCTTTATCCCTGCTACTGTTTCTCATCCCGCCTGAAGTTGGAAAGCGAATGGGTAAGAATTGTTCTCGTCTTTTGACTTCTGGCATAACAATAGACTTTGAATCAAGTCAAGGGTTGTGTATTATCATAATATTTAACACGGGAAATAGATTCTATCTCCTCTCGGTACTAACAGACAGACAAATAACCACGAGAAAAATAACACGCAAACAAACCTGCGAGTCGAGTTACACGCAAAGAAAAATCAAGAATGCGCCTGCAGATATTGCTAAACGGTCAGCGGTAGCTCCAGACAGAATATTAATACAATATACTATTCATTATAGAGAATCCTCTTTGAGTTCTTAATAGTGAGTAGTTACTGAAGACTCCAAACGCTGGCTAGCTTGATAATTTGTACTGAAGAAGAGACTGGATCCCAATTGAAATTGTTTCATAATTAATCCTGTAGTAATAGCGTTATAAAATGTGTTATTATTATTGTGAACATTAATATTTCAGAGGCCGGTATAAACCTTCTACTGTGCTTATCTGTGTATCTCATGCTGTTAAACACAAAGATGCCAAACGCCTCAAAAAATTTCCCTCTGTTGACAAAGTTCTCCGGCTGCGCAATCATAATCCTTGCATTGGCTATGTGTTGCACGTGTTTAGTGTATGCTGTTTATTTCATGAACTCATCCGGTGTGGAGTTGCATCATACTTCGCTGTTTATTCTTTTTAAGGTACGAAAAAACCAGTAGCGAAAGAGTGACTTGCATATTCTCAAGGACAATCCGAAATCATGGACAAAACTGTTGAGACAACTAAGCCGAATGTACGCTTATCTCCTTTGTTACCTTTCCTGTCAACTTTCTCTATTTCAAGGTTGTCAAAGCGTTTTTTTTCTACTTCCATGATGTCGGGTAGTAACAATTTTAGAAGCGGTTTGTTCAGAGGGCTGGTAAATGAATCGTCTCAACAGTTTTTTTCTCGCGATTTTTGATGGTGAGGAAAGTTGTTACCCTCCTACTTCAGATTGTCCGAAATTGAAGAGACCAAAATCGGTATTAGCTTCAGTAGGATCTCTGAGTATTTAAGAAAATTAAAAAACTGCTTTCCAAATTAAAATAAAACCAAGAGCATAAAAATCCACTCAAGTAACTGCCACCATTAAATCGAGTTATATCTTTTATAGAATTTCATATTACAACGGCTACAACCACTTCTCTTTACCAGTCCCTGCAGACGCTTAAAACGCACACGATCTCGAGCACGATCAAAGGTTCATCCTTCACAAACAGGTATGCAAATAAGACAAGCTCTCACGCAAAGCTCATATTTTTCACTAAATGATGTATGAAAGAATTTAATTTTCCACGTGTCGCCTGAAGAGGATGTTATTTCTTGAAGGCACACGACAAACGGAACGCTTATAGATAATTACATTTTATTTTAATTATTTCATAGAAGAGGTAGTTTCATTTTATTTTCTCCCATCAGTAGACTTAGATTTGACGCCAGATTTCGATGCCAGGAAGGATAAAACTCCCGAGGAATGTCACAAAGATGATGGACAAGCCCATTCAATTCAAGACCCACCCCTGATAATTACTAGTGATAGCCATGGTACAATTCCCCGGATTTCTGCAGCAGGTCGAGTAGATCAGGAGGGTCGCCTTACACTGGTTTCAGTTGGTTCTTCTTTCGAATACAGCAGTAGCGTTTCGAGTACTGCCTCTGTCAGGTCAGATGAAAATGTCAAAGCTGTTATGGCTACCTATAATGAATCAATTGCAGCTGAATTTGTAAGAAGTGAAAGCCTGACCGAAGATTGCAAAAAAGTTTCTTTTGCTTGCGAGAAAAGCGAGTCAAGAAAAGTTGTCAAACGAAGAGCAACCAAAATACACGACGGTGAGTCAGCAGTAAAACGTACTGAGCACACTCTGGTTTGTTCAGCGGGATCATCTTGGTTCACTCAGGTATCGTGGGATGAATCATTGGACGACAATGGCAACGATATCGAGGACATTTCAGGCCGTCTACAAGAAGGCGTAGATCAGCTAAGAGGATTTAACAGCGGTTCAGATACCAAAGATTCTGACGTAGGTAAGACAAGATGCTATTGGACAAGGTGTTGTATATTATATATTCAATAAGTCAGCCCACTAATACTTCAACTTAATTAATGACTTACCGGTTAACCATTGACTTTAATATTTTTGTTTTAGATGACATAACCACTGCTATTGATGGTTTGGATTACATTGCTGAGTATTTTGAAAGAGAAAACACACAGAGGGCAAATACAGAACAGTGGAAAAGAGCAGCCATGGTTTTAGACAGAGTATTTTTAATCATTTTCTTTACGGCTATTGTAGTTTCGCTCTTAACTTGTTTGTTGTTGGCTGCAAGAGTCAGGAAGTATTTCATTTCGTAACTTATGACAATTTTGAGATATTGAATGTTTTACATTGCATCTTACCTCTTTTCTCGCCAAATCTCTGTTTTTATCCCAGGTATAGATCACAAATAATGCGAAAGTAGCCATTGTAAAAAATAAAATGTACCGTAAGAAATGTCTTAGTTATTCCAGGTTCTTTCGGGCAAAGTCTGATGCATTTGGTTCGATTTTGGTCTAATCCATGATCGCTCGACGAAACCCACCTTTTTCTATTGGGAAGGGAACGCATTCTACACATTCCCTAGAATTATCAATCATTTCAACATTTGGTTATAAGACTTTTTAAATCGGCGAGTCTCTTTTAGGAGAACCATGGCCTTCTACCATCCTAAACTCCTAAACACCTTTTTCTTAAAACTGAAACTGTGCTAAACTGATTGATGTACGAAAAATGAATAAATAAACTCGCAGTGAATAAAGAAGGAGAAAAGACCATTAACTGTGAACAGGAGAGAAATAGGATGTCGCTGTCACCGATGAAAAGGTAGCCAATAGTACGTATTTGTTGCACCTCGGTATATGTTATCCAAGGCTGTAGCGGACTTATCAGATGGCGATGGTGTTTAATCGCTGCATAGTGTCATCTGTTGTTCACATTGTATAAATTTGTGAACGCTCAAACTATAAGTGTCAAGGGATGCTCCATGATAAAACAACATGGAAAACCAGAAACCATATAAAAATGTGGACTTTTTTGTTGCCATGTCAACCTGCAGGTATTTAAAAGTTTCTTAAACGATTGGCAATTGAATGATATTAAATTAGCTTTATTGGCCTCCTAAAAATTACTAATTATCTGTAATACTAATTGCCTTTTTTCTTTTGATGATAATTTCAAATCATTTCCATTTCATTGTCACCCTCAACCTCGTCCTGTCTCACACAGTTTGGCAGTCATTGCGTTTTGCCCTCTGCGACTTTTAAAAACAACTCAACACTGGTCTTTCCTCTGCCTTGTAACACAGGAAGGTCAAAAAGACTGGATAACAGCTGGTATGTGCAGAGGTACCTCAGTTTTAAACATTAGTACATCGCTTTATCTTCACTCCGATTCCAAAGATATTCCAGCAATTAGAGAAATATATGCATTTATATCTGAAGTAAAAAATTTGAAAATTTCCTCAGTATAAATTTTATTGATCATTGTTTCTACTTTTTCCGTTCATGAATGTCTTAAAAGTTCACTCTCGGACATTCCATATTCGGGAATCAATTTCAGTTTGAAATGCCATGATGGTAAAAAATTTTGCTGAAAACGTTATTGTGGAGAAATCAATCTGCACCTGGAGGTACGTTAGGTAGATCATTCAACTGAAAAAAAATCTGTGCGCACATATGAATTACAAAAACAAAAGAACAACATACAACTTTTTTTTTATTTTTGACATGATCGCTGACCTATATGTAAAAAATCTTAAGTGACTGTTCGCACGATTTTATTTCTGCTCTGTTTCTAGTGACAGCTTTCTTCGGAACGGAGTAAACAGCTGTGATTTTTGATTTAAGAGATTTGAGAAAACAACTTTTAAATAACTTTATCATACGTAACATTGGTAGAAGAGTCGGGCGATGTTTCCGCTAACTCAGTTTTGAAATGATGATAAAAATTCAACCTTCCTTTCCAGAATAATTTAAGAGTCCTATTAAAGGTGAAAAGAAAACGAAATTCCACCGAAAATATTTTCAACTGAAAAACTGTTCTGACAAAAGAATGGACCCTTTATTTCTTTTGATACATCCTGTTTCAGGCGAGATAAAATCCATCATAACGACAATCTTATATCAAAAACATCTTTTTAAATCGTTCCGAAAAACCTGAGAATTTGAGGGGATTTCCTACAAACGCCGAACATCTGGCGTATTGTTTAGTTTAATAATAAATATCATAACAGCGATGATAATTAAATTTTTATCACGTTCAACTCTGTTGTGACCGCTTTTATACAGTTGTTGATCCAGTTTCGTCTTTCTGAGACCATTCGATGCTTTATAGAACAAAATTCAAGCAGAAAGCTCCTGTGCCAAGTGGCCCTTTTGTTTCCTGTTGACATTCTTTTCAACTCTTTTACCGCCAACACCTCACAATAAAGAATTTGGACATTTTGGTAAACAGAAAAATAAAGAAATAAGAGCTATACACGCTGATAATATCAAAAATATTAACGCTTGAGGAGAACAAGCTGAGGGATTAAGGCTTAAGTTTCAAACCCATTAACTTATCATTTACCTCTTCGTGCAATAAGGAATGTCATGGTCTTACTTGTGTTCATTCTTTAGATTTCAAGTGCATCCAGCATCAGCAGGTGGCGTGACTTATCACCAGCGAATCATGTTCATCGTTTCAAGTACCCTTCAACTTGTACTCGCCAGTGCTCTGGTGTTGTTAGGTGTCAGTGGAAATCTTGCCATTCCCTTCATTTCTTATCGTTCAACCCTCAGATGTCCTCACATAACAGTTTTAGCTGCACTCGACTTCACGGCCACACTGCTTGGCCCTGGGCTCTTCCTCGTGACTCTTGTTACAGGCCTGCTTTGGTGGGAACATAATAAGACACTCTGTCAGAGCTTGACGTTTCTAAACTTCTGGGTGCAATTCGCTTGTTTCTTGGTTCTGTTTGTTCTTGCTTTGTTTTGTCAAAACATTGACCATCACTTTCCTTTATACGGCAAACTGCACGTCAAGAAGAGAGGAATTCTTTTTCTTGTAATTTCCCTCTTAACAGGGTTACTTTTCAGCATTCCTCCTATTCTGGGGTGGAGCTCATACAATGGTCTCTATTTATTGAATCCTTGCTCCTTGCTCAGCCACGTTCATAATTTGTCTTACTACACCATCATCTATCTTGTTTCCTCCCTTATCGTTTTATTCATCACTTTGTCTCTAACTGTGAGAGCAATAAGAAGACGGCGCCGGTTTTACCCGCTGCAGCTCCTCTGGGAAAGACACAAATTGGAAACGATGATCAATGATCCTGAAATGACAACTACTGCTTCGTCATCCAAGTCATCGTCCAAGACAAGCTTTTCCAGGCGATCGAGTGTGATTTCTGGTAGACTATCGGGTGTAGTTTCCTCTTGTAACAGTCCTTTGCCATTCAGAAAGACTTCTCAGAGATCTCGCCCAATCGAAGGCAATCTGAATGTTCTACTGGAAATCATTGCTCGGGAAAGGACGCTCAGTGTGCAAGCCGGAAACGTAGGCGAATCAAGTACTGCCACGGAAGTCTCAGAGCAGGTAATACCTAGTGCCACTACTGGGAGGTCCCTGTCTGGTATCCCTGGGAAGCCGTTTGTCATTTCCTCACAGGTCCCCCATCCAATGTGGACAGGGAGAAAGAGAATTTTCCATAACCCGCGGTCTCTCCCACCGTTCAAAGGTATAAAGCAACAGAAGTCCTTTTGCAGACTGTTGTTACTCAGATGTTGCCTCAGCATTTTGTGTTGGTTACCTCTCTGCACCTCGGTTGCACTAAGCCTTTGTTTCACCACCTACCCTCAACAACTAAATACCCTCATAAAATTTGCGATTTATCTTCATTCCTCCATCTCCCCGCTGTTGCCATTGTTTGACGCCAGCTACAGGATGATTTGCCGCCGGGCAGCGATTTTCTGCTTCAAGCCATGTGCGAGAAAAAATGACACACACGTGGACCTGTCCAGGTCACGTGATGTGGATCCCAGGAATGACGGGGGCCAGGATGTTCGATTACAAGACGTGATTCGTCTTGAGGGATCGAAGCTTTAAATAGCATTGATTTTAAGCATGGTATTTTTATTAGCTGTTCTTCCCCTGATCCGTCTCTTCGCACATGGCATTTTCTAGGAATCCCCTTGAAGAACTCTGACGCGAGTACTGAAGAGAGTATAATATACAAACTGATATCTGTAACACACTGATAGCGTTTGCTAAGTTTTTTTCTTTTTCAGAAAAGTTAGAACTCTGCAATCTTACATTTTTGTTTTGAGAACAGAGACCAGTGGTTAGTAAAAATACTGTAATAGCTTTAAAAAGTGACTGTAAGAAGGAAAAGGTTTTAGTCTTTAAGTCAAGCTCAAGCTTGTAACTCCAACTTAACGTCAGAAAATGTAGTTGCTGCTGAAACATGATCTGACTCAGTTTGTTGACGACCAAATAGCCAAGAGAATTGCGAAGGAAATGATAAAATAAATCTTAGGGGAGGGGTAAGGGGGGGAAGGGAGTGTTACCTGTGATCTCGGGAATCATGAAAACTTCAAACTCCATTAGTGAAAAATGAAATTTTGAAATTTTGGCTGTAGTGGGAATGATTGCTGGTAATTGAGGATCCGGGAAACTAGCGATGGCCCAGAACTTCATTGGTTTTAAATATGTTAAATCACTTCGAACACCACAGATGTTTTGCGTGATAGAAGCTGAAGTTCAGCGCTAACCAAATCTATGCTGCTTCTTAGAGGACGAAAACCTGTTAGAACTTCAATCAACCTAATATATCGAAAATGTCACAAGAACCTGTCACATACATGAACTCTATATTTTCATTTATTTCTCGAGGGCCAATCCTTTTTTAATCCTATGTTACATTTTAATTTCCTAGTTACCATCTCCTTTTCTTGTCGCATTGATTCTTATTTTCAATGTATGACTGTTGCGATAGCACACAACCTCGTCTCCATTCTCTTTCTTCCTCGGTGATGTCTGAAAACCAGGCCTGAGAATAAATTTGTGAATGTTTGATACTTGTTTTGGTTTTTACAAAAATTTGTAAAAAAAAACCTTGGGAAACCCTTTAAACACTTCCTCGAGAAATACTAAAAAAAACTTAAGGGAACCCAGGATCGTCAGGCGGTCTCTGTGACACATAGCAATTTCAAAACGCTCTGAATTATTTGTGTCTATTCTCAGACACACTCACCTTACTGTGGATACGAGAAATACAAAGATGGATACTTTCTGTTCACTCTAGGACGATGTTGCTATGAATCTGTCTTCCATTCAGTGGCATAACGTTTCGAAAGTTATTGCACATACGACCGACATTTGGACCTTGAGCATGCGCCTTGCTGCTTTGTAGATTTCGGAATGCCAGTATCTATTTTCAAAATGAAAAACAGCGCTTGGATTAAAAAATTTCTAAAATTCTTGAGGTTTGAATTCCTCGAGTGGTGTGATGTTGGAAAATATTTGTGTAAAGATGATTTCTTACTTCTTGCTCTGTTATCTGTGGATGATTGTTCATCACAAACCACGTGACCGATTCATAACACCCGGGAGTCGTAAGAGATCCTTTGTATTTGTAAAACCTGTCTGCAACATCTGGCGACGCGAGTAATGGTGCCAAGTCCTCGATATGCAGCCCCTCGCTTTGTGTTACCACGTAATTGCTGTCTTTTTATGAAAAGACGAGGTAAATATGGTTAGTATGATGATAGAGACTGAGAGCTGAATTTTGTCTCGATCTCGACCCAGTCCCCCTCATTCGCTTCAGTCTATCGCGAACAAAAATACTGAGTTATATGAAGAACTGAGTTTCCCCTCCCAAAACATCATGGTACGCGTCTCTATGGGTGAACGTTAGGTGACATCATCATGCAAGCATGTTAAACATATGTTAGGACTCTGAGATCTGTCCCGAATGGTTTAAATTTCAATTATAGCTGTAATACATAAGCTTAATCTAAACAATCCACAGGTGTGCGAACTACTTACTCTCTTCGACAACGTTGTTAAGAAGACGCGCAATTTTTTCCAGAGCATTATTTGCTGGTGTGGTGCCAATGTTTGCCATTGGAAGCTGCAACATGAGATGTGCCACATAAGATTTCCGTGTACTTAGAGGAGCTAATTTGTGATCAGATAAGTCTTAAATGCTGCTTTTATTCCAATATTTATTTTAGCAGCCTTCCTTGGTAGATTAATTTCATTTTTCAACATCCTTGACTTTAGCTATACATTAGGCAGTCAACTACGATCAGAATGGATTAAGATCTTCCGATATTAGATTCACTTAAAGGGTAAATAAACCATTGTTTGTTAATTGTGCAAATGCTTAATTTTTCTATTTGATGAGCATGTTCTCATAATTTTATCCTGACTAATAAAGTTAACACTAATATGCCAATTGACGACTTGATTTCTAGAGATAAATTAGAGAAGAAATAGTTAAATGATATACCTCGTAAAGCACAGACACCACAGCCAGACCATCTTCTCCCTGAGCTGCCAACTTATACGTCGCGTAATTAGTGTTGTCCCAAAATACCATGTGCAACTAACATACAACAGAAATTCCAAATAAGCACCGGGGTGCTGCAGGAGGATTATGGAGAGTAGAATACTCAAGACTGTTTTCGAAAAAAAAATTTTTTTTGAAGGTATTCAGTGAGTTAAACATCTTAATAACGTTTGCAAAATCTGCGAGCTTTCTTTTCTACACTTAAGGATGAAATGGAGGAGAAGTCACTGGCTCGTCTTAGCAGACGAGCCAGAAGATGTCGGATTTTACCTCAATCGGATACGTGTTGCCATCAATTGTGTGCTCCGAACCGACTGTATTATTGCAGCCAAAGTGAAAATGAAATTGCTTCAGAAAGTAGTTTTCCTGAAGTAGACCGCCTGCCAACTTGACCGTCAACTCCTCTGCGAGGAAGAACGTGGGCGCATATCCATTGTTCCTAATCTCACCGGTGATTGGTTTATTGCCAGCCACTGTCAGCCTCAGGTTGGGTGGATTGGTGGGGTCTTTCTGCATCACCTGGTCTGTGACCACGTCGATTGGGGACTGTTTGCGTCCATTGCAAGACCAGTCACCGTTTAACGTTTCCCATTCATCCGGGCCTTGACAGAAAAAAACCAATAACGATCATGTTTAACTTGGAATGTTCTGTTGAAATCGAAGCAGCTTATACACAGTAAAATTCCATTGGCTTTGTTAACTATGAGCTTTGTAAAATACCGTGATTCTGTTTATTTCCTGTACCTTTGGCTCCGGCTATTCCTCGGTCATAAGACCAGGGTGTGTCTCCAAGTTCAGCTGCAATAAATAAAAAATATATCAAGTCATGTGGCTTCCTCGTTTGAACAGAAACGAGGCGATAACTGGGATCCACAAAGAACCATGCGGGCGTTGAATTAATTAAATATCCGTCACATAATACACTGATTAGGTGACCGAAGAGGTAATGTGTTGACTCTCTTATAGAAAAGGTTAAGTTGAGATAGCGCCTGATAGATTGTGGAGGCTTACGCGCGCTGGACGAAAGAAATATCCTCTTTCGATCTTTCCGAGTCTGCAAATCTTTAATTACTAGATAACTCAGAGGCCATGAATAAATTTACCCAACAACATCTTCATTTAAATTGCTACATACGACTTACTTGAAAAAGTGATGTCCGCTTTCAGGAAAAGAGCAATACCTGTCCACAAAAGAATGTTTGTAAAACAAACGAAGAAAAGTTGCAGGTGTCCGTAATGTCATTTGATATCTCATGAACATTCAGTTAAACCATTGGGCACACAGAATATATTTCAGCGTTTGTGTGCAATTTAAAAATTTATTTTGAAGAGATTTAGGATATTCAGCTGAAAAAATAACACAATCTTTTTCGCGGAGACCTAGAGAGAGGAAGAGAAAATTAGAGAGAAAAAAAGCTAGAGGAAATTAGACTTAGATAAACAGATTTTAAAAGAGCAAATTGTCAGTGAGTTACCCTCTCTCCCGAAATGGTTTTCAAAGAGGTTACCAGAATCATTTTTGTTGCATTTTGAACAAACACCTATTCATAGAAGTGCAAATAAACATTTAGGTTATGAGTGTTAAACGGACAAACAATTTGTAAATAATCATGTTACCTGCAAGCAAAATAATGGAGTATAACTTGCTCTGTTTAGAGTACATCAGGGTTAACTGTTTTGATTCAGTTGCGTAAATGAAGAACGGCTTGGCTGAAAAAGTCTTACAACCTGAAATTTGAGTCAGACACCAACTAGGACTTTTTACGTCTTTGTTATTTATTATCTTTCTGAGGAGCATTAATGATTGAATACATGAAGCTTATCAGGTGTAATATGCTGTGCCCTTGCTTATCCAAAATATTAAAATGATATTGCAACATCTTTAAACTGACGATGAAAGAATTCCGGTTTCCAATTTTTAGTGAGCCCAAGCCAGGATTTTGTTGCACACTAAGTTCTCCATGGAAAAAAGTCAGTTGTGGTTCATTTTCTAATTTTCTAATGTTTCAGAATCCAATCAATTGACACATGACCAGCACCTGTCAATCGGCTGTCAAAATTTGGCCATGGATCAGCTCATCTTAAAAAGTAAGAGTTATGGCGAAATCATAAAATTTTGTATGGGAATATTTACGATCTCTCTTAGGAATGAAAAAAATACTGTCAATGTTAATAAAAAATAATTCGCTTTACTTTCACAGTGCACTGCTTGTTATCTGACCGCTTACTATGTTGAATAGAACCCGCCATTATAGCGAGTTATCCATTTCTAGGTTTACTACATAAGAGAAGCTTCTCTTATGTAGTACAAAGCTTAAGGTGCTGCCTCCTTTCAGTCCGTTTCTCAACATCGTGGAACAAGCGATCAGTACTCTTAAAGCTGCAATCAAGGCCGATATCTCTCAACCTGGCACTCAAGAGGAGTAAAACAACCGGGAAGAAGCAGGACGTTAAGGCATTCCACTGGGAGACTATCACCAAGGAATTCTGTTAAGACCAGGCCGAAGAAATATGAACGCAATAACTGTCCGAAAATACTCTCAATGATTTAGGGTTATGCAAACCTATATCCCGTGTTGCTTAAACCACGAAGCAATATAAGGATAGGCTCTTACTGGAACACAAACTTATTTGAAATTCTTAAGTTGTTAATGTAGCTGAGAACTGATTGCACAACAACATTAAAGATTGTACTCTCATTTAGAATTAAAGTATATTGGTGTAAATGCAAACAGCTTAAATGAAATTTAAATCCGTCATAATTGTTGTCTTCTCTTAACTTGATAACACTTTCGTGTTATTCAACTTAAATGTAGCGCTAATGAAATTTATCTTGCGTTCTTGAAGGGCAAACGGTGTAAACCTAGAGATAGATGATTCGCTAAAATTGGTTCTTTTCAAACACAATAACATAGTAACAATAACAAGCAATGCACTTTAAAAGTAAAGTGAGGTATTTTCATTGAGAACTTGACTTATTTTTTTATTCCTAAGAGCGGTCGTAAATATTCGCCTACAAACTGTTATAATTTCGCCATGACTCTTACTTTGCAAGATGATCATCTCACGGCTGGAGCTTGGGGCATCTGTGGTTTGGCTGGTTAAAAAGTGACTAACTGAACTTAGAGCAGTCTAGACAGTCTAAGAGTTGTAGGAAGAAAATACATTCAGCTAGAATGGTTAATGAAAAAGTGGTGGACGCTGACAACTAATACTAGTAGCAGTATCCTATCCATTCTTTAGCCTCGGTTTTCTCTGAGTTCTATTATATAGGGACGATTCTTTACTTCCTGCATGCCTACGACTGCTGTTTAAGGGAACGACACGCAACATTTAGTTGCTCAAATTTTGCAAAAATTCCTCACTCTAAAGAACTTGAACTGACATGGCTGGTCTCCCAGGACATAAGCATTGGCTTGATACCATTTGTTCTAAGAAAAGTACGTGGACTTCTGGGATTGCTTGCAATATTGAAGAAAGCCGTCCGAATGCCAGCATTTTGGAGTCTGATGGCGATGCTTGCGATGCAGATCGTGGGATTTACAATAATTATGTATTTAACAAATTAACTCATATACAAGTATGTCTCGTAGCTGCATTTTGGCATGCACGGATTAGCACTCATTGCAATCCAACCAATTCTATGCCGCGAGCGCTTTGATCATATTCCGGTTCCAGTTTACTTAACCAAAATTACTCATCATTAACTTGACTTTCACAAGGAAAAAAGCAACAGACACTGGAGGCAGAAATTGCAAGATCATAAGACCTTTTATGATTATAATAGGCGTCTGCATCATTTGGATTACATGTACATGTGTCCACTAATTGTTCGTCTTTGGAGTGATCTATAGAACTTTCCTTCAAACATGCTTCTTAGAGGACGAAAACTAATGCAACTTGTCACAGCATAATATAACAGTTCATTCCTTTATTCCAGCCATGGTTAACATGAGCTCGTGCCAGTCCTTCTTGTTACCACCCGGATTTCTTTCACCTGTTAGAACTTCAATCAACCTAAAATATCGAAAATGTTACAAGAACCTGTCACATACATGAACTCTATATTATCATTTATTTCTCGAGGGCCAATCCTTTTTTAATCCTATGTTACATTTTAATTTCCTAGTTACCATCTCCTTTTCTCGTCGCATTGATTCTTATTTTCAATGTATGACTGTTGCGATAGCACACAACCTCGTCTCCAATCTCTTTCTTCCTCGGTGATGTCTGAAAACCAGGCCTGAGAACAAATCTGTGAATGTTTGATACTTGTTTTGGTTTTTACAAAAATTTGTAAAAAAAAAACTTTGGGAAACCTTTTAAACACTTCTGCGAGAAATACTAAAAAAAGCTTAAGGGAACCCAGGATCGTCAGGCGGTCTCTGTGACACAGCTATTTTAAAACGCTCTGAATTATTCATGTCTGTTCTAAGACACACTCACCTTACTGTAGATATGAGAAATACAAAGATGGATACTTTCTGTTCACTCTAGGACGATGTTGCTATGAATCTGTCTTCCATTCAGTGGCATAACGTTTCGAAAGTTATTGCACATACGACCAACATTTGGACCTTGAGCATGCGCCTTGCTGCTCTTTAGATTTCGGAATGCCATCATCTATTTTCAAGATGAAAAAACAGCGCTTGGATTAAAAGAATCTCTAAAAGTTCCTCAGGTTTGAATTCTTCAAGTGGTTTGAAACTTTCCGTTGTTTCTTTTAAAATCTTGACTCTTAACGTTAAGAGTGACGAAGAGATAGATTATTCTTAATTTCTGAAATGGGATTTGAAAACTGGGAAAGAGGACAGTCAAATTTTTGCGAGTCTTCGTGTTTTCGATGACTTCACATTGTATATAACTTTACACTGAGAAAGCCATCCTCCCAAAGTTTTCCTTCTTCAAGAAATCTAAGGTGTGATGTTGGAAAATATTTGTGTAAAGATGATTTCTTACTTCTTGCTCTGTTATTTGTGGATGATTGTTCATCACAAACCACGTGACCGATTCATAACACCCGGGAGTCGTGAGAGATCCTTTGTATTTGTAAAACCTGTCTGCAACATCCGGGGATACGAGTAATGGTGCCAAGTCCTCGATATGCAGCCCTTCGCTTTGTGTTACCACGTAATTGCTGTCTGTTTATGAAAAGACGAGGTAAAATATGGTTAGTATGATGATAGAAACTGAGAGCTGAATTTTGTCTAGATCTCGACCCAGTCCCCCTCATTCGCTTCAGTCTATCGCTAACAAAAATACTGAGTTTATTCGAAGAACTGAGTTTCCCCTCCGTCTCTAGGGTCAAACGTTGGCTGACATCATCATGCTAGCATGTCAAACATATGTTAGGACTGAGATCTTTGTTCAAATGGTTTGAATTTCAATTAAAGCTGTAATACATAAGCTTACTCTAAGCAATCCACAGGTGTGCGAACTACTTACTCTCTTCGACGACGTTGTTAAGAAGACGCGCAATTTTTTCCAGAGCATTATTTGCTGGTGTGGCACTAATGTTTGCCATAGGAAGCTGCAACATAAGATGTGCCTCATAAGATTTCAGTCTACTTAGAGGAGCTAATTTATGATCAGATAAGTCTTAAATGCTGCTTTTATTCCAATATTTATTTTAGCAGCCTTCCTTGGTAGATTAATTTCATTTTTCAACATCCTTGCTACTGCATAAAACTAAGACTTTAGCTATACGTTATACAGCCAACTACAATCAGAATGGATTGAGATCTTCCAATATTAGATTCACTTAAAGGAGAAATAAACCATTATTTATTAAATTGTACAAATTATTCATTTTTTATTTGATAAGCATGTTCTCATAATTTTGTCCTTACTAATAAAGCTAACACTAATACGTCAATAGACGACTTGATTTCTAGAGATAAATTAAAGAAGAAATAGTTAAATGATATACCTCGTACAGTACAGCAACCGCAGCCAGACCATCTTCTCCTTGAGCTGCTAACTCATATGTCGCATAATTAGTGTTGTCCCAAAATACCATGTGCAACTAACATACAACAGAAATTCCAAATAAGCATAAGGATAATTATGGACAATAAAATACACAGGACTGTTTTTTTTTAAGGTATTCAGTGTGGTAAACATCTCAATAACGTTTGCAAAATCCACGAGCTTTTCTTTTCTACTCTTTAAGATTAAATGGAGGAGAAATTACTGGTTTTTTTTAAAAAATCTGTAATTACGCCTCATAGCTCTGTTTTAGCAAAAGCCAGAAGATGTCGGATTTTACCTCAATCGGATACGTGTTGCCATCAATTGTGTGCTCCGAACCAACTGTATCATTGCAGCCAAAGTGAAAATTAAATTGCTTCAGAAAGTAGTTTTCCTGAAGTAGACCGCCTGCTAACTTGACCGTCAACTCCTCTGCGAGGAAGAACGTGGGCGCATATCCATTGTTCCTAATCTCACCGGTGATTGGTTTATTGCCAGCCACTGTCAGCCTCAGGTTGGGTGGATTGGTGGGGTCTTTCTGCATCACCTGGTCTGTGCCCACGTCGATTGGGGACTGTTTACGTCCATTGCAAGACCAGTTACCGTTTAACGTTTCCCACTCATCCGGGCCTTGACAGAAAAAAAACCAATAACGATTATGCTTCACTTGGAATGCTCTGTTGAAAATCAAAGCAGCTTACACACAGTAAAATTCCATTGGCTTTGTTAACTATGAGCTTTGTAAAATACCGTGATTCTGTTTATTTCCTGTACCTTTGGCTCCGGCTATTCCTCGGTCGTAAGTCCAGGGTGTGCCTCCTAGCTTAACTGCTATTAATAAAAAATATATCAAGTCATGTGGCTCCTCGTTTGAACAGAAACGAGGCGATAAAATGATCCACAAAGAACCATGCGGGCGTTGAATTAATGAAATATCCGTCACATAATACACTGATTAGGTGACCGAAGAGGTAATGTGTTGACTCTCTTATAGAAAAGGTTAAGTTGAGATAGCGCCTGATAGATCGAGAGGCTTACGCGCGCTGGACGAAAGAAAAATCCTCTTTCGATCTTTCCGAGCCCCCAAGACATTGAATCTTTAGTTATTAGATAACTCAAAGGCCATGAATAAATTTACCCGACAACAATTTCATTTAAATTGCTATATACGACTTACTTGAGAAAGCGATGTCCACTTTCAGGAAAAGTGCCACACCTGTCCACAAAAGAAAATTGCTAGTCCTTCTACTAATTCATTTCTAGTGGAAACCAGTCATCTTCTCTTGTCCTAGACTCAGTTACGCAAAAAGTCGTCAGCTTATCAACCTCAATTTTTTTATATTAATACTGTTGTGATAACTTTAGGAGTTCCAGCCAAACCACACCGAAAGAATAGTAAAATATGTAGCCCTGAACAAAATGTTTGTAAAAGTAGCACTTCATGATGAAACGAAGAAAAGATGCAGGTGTCTGTGATGTCATTTGATATCTCATGAATACTCAGTTAAACCGTTAAGGAGACAGAATATATTTCAGCCTTTCTGTGCAACTTAAAAAATTTGTTTTGAAGAGATTAGGATATTCAGCTGAAAAAATAACACAATCTTTTTCGCGGTAAAATAACGGTAACGTTATATGATGTTTAGACCTAGAGACAGGAAGAGGAAATTAAAGAGAAAAAAAAGCTAAAGGAAATTAGACTTAGATAAACAGATTTTTAAAAGAGGAAATTGTCAGTGAGTTACCCTCTCTCCCGAAATGTTTTTCAAAGAGGTTACCAGAATCATTTTTGTTACATTTTGAACAAACACCTATTCATAGAAGTGCAAATAAACATTTAGGTTTTGAGTGTTAAACGGACAAACAATTTGTAAATAATCATGTTACCTGCAAACAAAATAATGGAGTATAACTTGCTCTGTTTAGAGTACATCAGGGTTAACTGTTTTGATCCAGTTGCGTAAATGAAGAACGGCTTGGCTGAAAAAGTCTTACAACCTGAAATCTGAGTCAGACACCAACTAAGACTTTTTACGTCTATGTTATTTATTATCTTCCTGAGGATCATTAATGATTGAATACATGAAGCTCATCAGGTGTAATGTGCTGTGCCCTCGCTTATCGAAAAAAATAAGATGATATTGCGACATCTTTAAATTGACGATGAAAGAATTTCGGTTTCCAATTTCAGTAAGCCCAAGCCAGGATTTTGTTGCTCACTAAGTTCTCCATAGAAAAAAGTCAGTTGTGGTTCATTTTCTAATTTTCTAATGTTTCAGAATCCAATCTACTAACACATGACCAGCACCTGTCAATCGGCCGTCAAAATTTGACCTTCGATCACCACAGGCGGTCCAAGCTCCAACCATGAGGTGATCATCTTGCGAAGTAAGAGTCATGGCGAAATCATAAAAGTTAATATGGGAATATTTACGACCGCTCTTAGGAATAAAAAAGTACAATCGAATTCTCAATACCACACTTTACTTTCACAGTGCACTGCTTGTTATCTGACCGCTTACTATGTTGAATAGAATTCGCCATTGTAGCGAGTTATCCATTTCTAGGTTTACTACATAAGAGAAGCTTCTCTTATGTAGTACAAAGCTTAAGGTGCTGCCTCCTTACAGTCCGTTTCTCAACATCGTGGTACAAGCGATCAGTAATCTTAAAGCTGTAATCAAGGCCGATATCTCTCAACCTGCCACTCAAGAGGAGTAAAACAACCGGGAAGAAGCAAGAAGTTAAGGCATTCCACTGGGAGACTATCACTAAGGAATTCTGTTAAGACCATGCAGGCTGAAGAAATATGAACGCATAACTGTCTGAAAATACGCTAAATGATTTAGGGTTATGCAAACCTATATCCCGTGTTGCTTAAACCGCGAAGCAATATAAGGATAGGCTATTACTGGAACACAAACTTATTTGAAATTCTTAAGTTGTTAATGTAGCTGAGAACTGATTGCACAACAACATTAAAGATTGTACTTTAATTTAAAATGAAAGTATATTGGTGTAAATGAATTTTTGTATTTATGCAAGCAGCCTAAATGAAATTTAAATCTGTCATAATGATTGTCTTCTCTTAACTTGATAACACTTTCGTGTTATTTAACTTAAATGTAGCGCTAATTAAATTTATCTTGCGTTCCTGAAGGGCAAACGGTGTAAACCTAGAGATAGATGACCCGCTAAAATGAGTTCTTTTCAAACACAATAACATAGTAACAATAACAAGCAATGCACTTTGAAAGTAGAGTGAGGTATTTCCATTGAGAATTTGACATATTTTTTTATTCCTAAGAGCGGTCGTAAATATTCGCCTACAAACTGTTATAATTTCGCCATGACTCTTACTTTGCAAGATGATCATCTCACGGCTGGAGCTTGGGGCACCTGTGGTTTGGCTGGTTAAAAAGTGACTAACTGAACTTAGAGCAGTCTAGACAGTCTAAGAGTTGTAGGAAGAAAATATATTCAGCTAGAATGGTTAATGAAAAAGTGGTGGACGCTGACAACTAATACTAGTAGCAGTATCCTATCCATTCTTTAGCCTCGGTTTTCTCTGAGTTCCTGTCCCTTTGCTTTTGACTTTTTCATTTCATCCCTCGCCAGCAGTTGGATCAAAACCAACGTAACAACGAACAGGTATTATTCTTCACCAAAAACAAACAACAGAATGAAAATGCCAAGACATTTGGTAAAAGTTTCAGTTTCTAGCGGCGTGAATAAATATCAGGATCATCCGATAGCTGATAACTAAGACAGTTTGTTAAAGTAGTTTATTCTTGCGAATACCATTTGGCCTCTCCTTCTCAGGTTCACAGGTGAGTTCGTTCATAGAACAGATTCGTGAACCTCTCGTTTGCTTTTGACTTTTTCATTTCATCCCTCGCCAGCAGTTGGATCAAAACCAACGTAACAACGAACAAGTATTTTTCTTCACCAAAAACAAACAACAGAATGAAAATGCCAAGACATTTGGTAAAAGTTTCAGTTTCTAGCGGCGTGAATAAATATCAGGATCATCCGATAGCTGATAACTAAGACAGTTTGTTAAAGTAGTTTATTCTTGCGGATACCATTTGGCCTCTCCTTCTCGGTTCACAGGTGAGTTCGTTCATAGAACAGATTCGTGAACCTCTCGTTTACTTATTTTTTTGTTTTGTTTTAGTTTTTTTTTATTTCCAGGTCTACCCACCGCCCCTTGATTAACGGTGACCCTAATATTCTTCAACCTGGGGGGTCGATCGATCCATCACACAAAATATTGAATATAATTAATTACCGTACGATTGGTAAGAATCTGTTGGGCGATTTTTATGGCTCAGGGGAAACTTTGATCCATTTTAAAAAACATGACAAAACTCTCGCGCATTTACGAGCGCTAGTGAAGCAGATTGCAAACAGATGCAGTCGATCACAGTTGTTTGAAAGATAATAAAGAAGGCGAGACATTGATTGTTCAAACTTCTTTAGGTTAATTTAAAACAAGGGGTTGGGGTGTGTTTTATTTTAACTTCAACTTTTGCCGCAATCATTCAGAATTAAAGAACTGATTAATTTTTTACGAACGAAATGACGTTCGAAAATGAAAAACAATAAAAGGGATGTGAATAATAAGCATAAAGATAAGTTTTAGAGAACATGATCTGTGATCACAGTATCAGCTGTATGAGTTATGTTTTGAAATGAGGCTTACTCATGTTCTAACAAAGTCTGTCTTTTTGTTTTATTTTATGAAAATTGGAACGCAAAAAGTTTTGGATCTTTAACTAAAACCTTTTCGTTTTTTAACAGGAAAGAAGCAAAATCCACCTGAAGCACTTTGATAAAATGGTTAGTTCTGTAAACTAACTGGCATCCTGGATGGAAACCTTACCTTTGATATTCTCGCAAACGAAAAAACAAGACCGTTTTTGCGACAAGTCGAAGTCGCTTCTCAGCAACCTTGCCCGTTGTTGTTTTGTTCTTCTTCTCCTGTGGCAGATTATAGGGACGGTTCTTTACTTCCTGCGTGCCTACGATTGCTGTTTAAGGGATCGACACGCAACATTTAGTTGCTCAAATTTTACAAAAATTCCTCACTCTAAAGAACTTGAACTGACATGGCTGGTCTCCCAGGACATAAGCATTGGCTTGATAGCATTTGCCCTGAGAAAAGTGCCTGAATTTATGGGATTTCGCGCAATATTGAAGAAAGCCGTCCGAATGCCAGCATTTTGGAGTCTGATGGCATTGCATGCAATGCAGATCGTGGGATTTACAATAATTATGTATTTTAACAAATTAACTCATATACAAGTATGTATCGTAGCTGCGTTTTGCATGCACGGATTAGCACTCCTTGCAATCCTTTTCGTGTTAAATTTTACGCCGATAAATCGAATTAGGCGAAGGCGTAACTACTTTGTTTTTATACTCCTCAAATTCACGTTACTGGTATTTTTCGTGCAAACTTCTACAATCTTTGTAGTTGGATCCCTTCAGTTTACTTTTAAAGTCACTGGTTTAGATGAGGTGGGACGATCAGCTAATTTCGTGACGATTTTTCGAAAACTTCGAGAATTTCCACAAGTTATTTTCTTCTACAGGACAGCAACTTTCTTCTGGCACAAGTTCTTTTTGGATAGTAGAAATATACTCAGCCATTTTCAAATGCTGAAGTCAAGAAATGATATTTCGAATAGATTTCGTGAATAAGAGTATTTTTCTATCGACCCCCATGAAACCGAAACCAAAATAAGCCACTGATTTGCACAACGGAGAGAGGCTGAGACTACAGATTTCAAATTAATGAAATGTTTGACACCTTGGCATAACTCTAAAATGCCCGTTTAAGAAACGAATAAAATATTTTTGAAAGTAACTTTGACCAATAAATCAAGGAATCTTCATTCTTTTGTTTTATTTTGGAAGATTAAAACAGAAGTTAATAAGATCATAATAGGAATGAAAACAGTACAATAGTATTTTTTTTCTGACAGAAGATTTTCTCCTTTGACAAAACCTATATACAACATAGATTTTAAGATACAGTCCTGTATATAAACAAAGCAAGGATTGTAATTATAATTGAAAGAAACTGTACATGATTTAGCACAAGCGGCGGTTCTTTCCCTTTGCAGGCTACCGTGTGTAATGGTAACTGGTTTATGTATGATAACTTTTATCGAAAATAAATGTTCTGAATAAAGAAGTGAAAGAGTAGTTTTGTCATGCAATTATTTCAAGATAGGACAGTTCGTCTTCAGAGCACTTATGACTTTCAGCATTTTCCTTACCAGCCAAAATGATGTTTACAGGTTCCTCGTAATCGGTGACCAAAGCTTGATAAGCACGACAATTATCACTCTCGTTGTTCTGTTCAGTTGAGTCCGTCTTTAATGCACTGTAGTCTTTTGTCACCTCTCTATTTTCTCTGCCTTTATTCAGCGGGTATTTACCTTTGAGTTCATCGCTGCTCTTTCGTCTTATTGCTAACCGCCTGGAGATTGAGAGTTGTCCTGGAGTTTTGTACGGGGAAGCGTATTGAACGTTTCTGTTTTCATTGTTTGCTGATCGCTGTAACAGGTGATATTTCTGATCTTCGCAATCAGGCGAGTCTTGAAAATGCACTTTTAGCTGGTTGACTTCACGGAAATTGTTTGCCCCATCATCCTGTTTGCGAAGAGATCGAGTCTGTGCGTCATAATAAAATGGCTGTGCAGTTATGTCGCCGTTTTGTTTGCTTGTTTTCATTTTCAAGCGCCAAAGAAGGAAGCCAATGACGCAAACTAAGACCAGTATCACGCAAACGAGCGGAATTATTGCGATTGTCCAATGGATGAAGCCGGCAGGAGGTTGAACTGAATTAGAAAAAGAAAACAAAATAAATGAAAACGTTTAGGGGACGGAGAAAGTTTAGTGGAGAGGATAAATTAGAGCACCTATTCAGCTGTGGGGCAAAAAAATCATAATACGGCCAGCAGAACAAACACTAGTTTTCCGTTTGTGTGGGTGTGACTCCCGCTTCGCCGTTGGCGCTTTAATCGAATGAGTACGGTGTAATATTTAAGATACTGTCTGAACTTTTCTTGTAACTGACATTTGTAGTCAGTGACAAAACTGGTGGTCACTGTGCTCAAGTTGATCGCTACTCGATCGGTTCTAATTCGCACAAAAAATACTAATTAAAAACATGAATTCACGTTTCTGTGAAACATATCCCTTACCTTTTCTTACCATGGAAATAATATCAGTATTGCTGGCTCGCGTGTTTTTTTCAGTTCTCAACGTCGGTGGTGTTTGTTTGCTACTTGTGCCAGATGGAACTACTCTGAATACTTCAGTGATCTTGCAGGTTAAACCACTTCTTGAACACTCTGTGAAACGAGTTCCACAATTAGTTATATACAAGGGCGAGTGGCAAAGAATTCAACGTGTTTGTCCGGTTTGTGAAATTCCCCTCATGGCAACACCCGTCTTCTTTTCTTCCGAGTGTGTCTTTACGTAGCTGCTCGTATTCCTTTACCCAGGCTATATCTGTCTGCATTATATATTTAGCAGTCAGCAGTTCTAAATAACTTTTCGAACAAAATGGGTTTGATTTGAGTGCTGTCACTTTACTTTTGGTTACTTATTTGCGCCTTGTTATACACAAAGTAGAATAGTTGACATCCACATTTAAGTCAAATACACGGTTGTAATCAATCTAAGACAGAACTCATATGAGGTCATCATGCGTTATAAACAGTCTGGAATGCTAACGAGTTACTGTAGCTAATGCCGAAGATTTCAAACTAAACTAATCCCATTCCTATACACATCCCCACCCCTAACAGGATTTCCTTTTGGATATAGGATGGGGCTGGCGTGGGTGTGTTACGAATAAACACTAAAAAAACCAACAAGGAGTCTGTCAGACAAACGAATAAAGGGGGTAAGTTTCTAAAGAAACTGTGGTGCTGCGTCTGTAAGAGAGCACATCAGGATCATTTAGTATTATCAACTGAGTTGATAACGTAAATTGGCCAGTAAATTGCTTAGGGTTGCTTGGGGTTAGCTTTAAACCCTAAAGAGTTTAAAGGTGACGTTTCGAGCGTTTCGAGCGTTCACCTTTCATCAGAGAGATCGCCATCGCGCTGACGAAGGGTTAACGCTCGGAACGTCAGCTTTGAAACTCTTTCACGTTATCAACTCAGTTGCTAATACTAAATTACCCTGTCAGACAGACAGACACACACACATAATGCAAAACAGGATACCAATGGCCGAACAATATTTAATAAAGCAACGCACACACCAGAGGGTATTTCGCAGATGAAGCCGGCGAAAATGTCTCCTCTTATGTCATTAAAAAGCCCCCTAGTTCCCGGCGGGTAGTTTTTCGCCATCACCACATACGGCGCACCATCTCGAGGCTGCCAAGGCTGCCAGTGGTTAATGGTTAGTGGCTTTCCATTCACCCAGGTCCAGGTCCAGTTCCCTATCACTGTGGTGTTCCTTCGCAAACCGATATGCCAGTCATTGTTGAACTTGTTCGTCAGGTTTTGGATGTAATCTCTTACAACTTGCCATTCATGTGGTGTTTCCATGGAGACAAGGTCTCCTCCGTTAGATTTACACGACTGTCTGGCCGCAGTCCATGTGAGCCCGTCTTCGTGGAATGTGTAGCATGAGCAGTCCGCGGCATAAACTGTACAAGCAGATCACAAATGACTTATTACAATGATTTCTAGAAGCTTCGGAAACAAATATTCAGCAGTTATTCCCTCCTTTAACTGCAATGAAAGACGATGGCTCCAGTTATAAAATTGAGACTTGCCGCAGTTCTGTGAACTGGTATGATGTTCTATGAACTGGTATGAGGGCCGATAAAGCGTTGTCGTCGGGTGAGAAAATCTGCTCTCAAAATCTCTTAATCATTGAACAAATTTATTACCATTCATTCTCTGGTAGCGGTTAACGAAAGGACCTTTTAAGCTCATTTAAAAATAGATCTTTGTTTCTACCGTAGAACATAGACGCGGCATTGATTAGTCCCATCTTCTCTTAAATCTAAATTTCGTAATTCTGAACCGTCGAAAGGGAAATTAAGGCTTTCCTGATATTTGTGGTTGTTCAGAGCACAAGCGCGGATATAGCAGTGCAGTCCAGTCGAAACTATTCCTCGACGTTTTACAGTTTTAAAGATCTAGGATTGGAATTTATTTACTTCTGTTCTTTTGACTAAGGATTGTAGAAACCGGTGCCTAGATTATTATTACTGATGCTTAAGGTAGACGTTGACATATGCGAGTGCGTGACTCAAACAGAAAAATCATCTTACCTTTGACCACAAATGGAAGAAAAACAACGACTCCAAGAAAAAGCGTTAATTCCATGGTGGAAGTACTGCGATCTTACTCTTTTTTCGGTTCAAGTTGGCAATTCTTTTTTATGTATGGAACAGATGTGCTTACGTATTCAGACCGATTCCACATTTCATATCCGGTGTGTTACTGGGCGTTCTCTGAAGCTCAACATTTTTACACGTATACGGCGATAATCAAAACACGTTACAATGAAAGGATCGAGTATCGCTCAGTCACGCTAAGTTCCAGTTTCTGACAACAGCGTTTCTTAATGTTCTTTCCTAATTTAGCAATACCTAAGGATCGATTGTTATAATTGGGCATCTCATCACATGGGTATCTTTCAATACCCTTGTCATGCTTGAAAAGAATTTGCTTTCCAGATATCATCACAAGCTACAAGACGAATTAAAATGAGGTTATTTTTCACCAACTTCCCATAGTGTTCAAACCACACCGTGGGAACGTCTCTCACGACAATGCTTTTTCTGTTGACCAGTTGACAATGAAGAGGTTTTCTGTTTGTGTGTTAAAACAAAAAAATATACAAATAAATTCTACTGATAACCTATTTGTGTCCTTTACAAGATCACAGGGAGAGAGGAGGCTTGGTGGATAAGCGGATTATGGTGTTTTGATTTAAAACCATACATACGTACTTCGCAGATTATTCCGGGTGGTGTAGGATAACACTGCTTTAAGAGAACATGCTCTTGTGATTACTTAAATTGTTTTTATTACATGTTATTATCATTATCAGTGCTGTCTTTTATCACAAATCAAATGCTCTTGAACTAAAAGTAGATTCTTATATCCAAATAAAGTTTTTTACTAGTAAACGCATCTACGTATTATTCCATTGTTTTTTATTTGGCATTGTATGGTGTAAGGTCGCAATGTATTTACAAACAGATTGAAGCAAATAAGGATTCGATTACTCTCGTCACAAGCGCAGAACAAAAGAGAAATATCTGTGTTCCCTTCGAAAAATCAAACCTCAGACCTTCTCGATAAGGCTGAAAGTCTTGCGTGCTCGAGGAATTCCTGCTCTTATTTCTTTTTCTCGATTTTTTTGCACCATTATCTTGTTTTAATTAATTATGCTTTAATGTAACACTATTAATATCTCCACGCCCTGATAAGTAGATATGTGATCACTGATCTTTCTAAAAAGTGATCCGTATTATGGAGATAATGCGCAAACAGCGCTTAAGTGTCGCGATCTTGTAACTAAAAAATCACATCTATATCTACAAAGATAAAAAGCTTTACACCGAGTATAAAATACTGGAAGGTTCTAATAAGCCATCTGAAAGTAAATGTCACAGTGCCTTGCTCAATGGTGTGGCAAGTACCCTATACGCGCCCATAGACGTATCACTTCAGAGGGTTTATTATTGAAAAAATATTACTTTAAGTCTTGATCGACTTCGTCCATTGTCTGGCTTTAATCTCTCCGCGGAGCTTGGTCTTCCTCGGATCGTCTCTAAAAGATATCTTTGAGGAGTCAAATTCTAGCAAGAGTAAAACAAGGCTTGTTACACTTTGAACCAGAATGTTTCCTAAGGGAAAGTGATTTTAAAGATGAGATGAGTTTCCAAACACAAACCTGTTCATTGTTCCCACCATTTGAGAGCAGCTTTGCGTTCCGCAGATTTAACCCCAGTTACTAGAAAAACACACATAAAAGTAATTTTTAGTCTCGGGGTCTAATACGTTTGGCTAATTGCGTACTTACGAGCAGTCTAGCTTTTAATAATATGAAACACAGTCCAGATTTTTTTTGCGCACCATACAGAAATCGCAGCAGAAAAAAAAGGGTCGTTCCGTATGGGGCAAAAAATGTACCCTTGGTCTTGAATATAACAAAGATCAAGGCTATCTCCTAACTTCGGGATAATTTTATCCATAAACCCACTGTAGAGATGAAAGCAGGATTAGTTAGTGTTCCGGCAGACCTGTCGTCGTGCACACAAGAGGACAGTCAATAAGTACATACTACGATTTTACAGCAATGTTTGACTGACCAGCGTAGACAGAATTTCTCCATCGTCCACCACAGGACTCAAACGAATTTTCAACGTACTCAACAGGATCGTCGGGTTTTCTGCACTTAATGTTACATTCCTTATCATCAGCTCGGCCATACTTGTCAAAAGTATTCCCACAGAAACAAAGATCACCGTTTTGCAGACCAGCGTAAGGAAAACCTCTGTCAGCGCATTGGTCAACACAGTCTTGTTTTGAGGAAAAATGCTGAATTTCATATCCAAGTGCTCGAGGCTGCACCAGGCGGAAGTTGTCATCCAGCGCCTTATCGTCCTTGTAACAGCCAATCATATCTGCAAAGATGACATATTAAACTTTTGACGTATAATGGAATACCTTAACCGTTCATACCGTGTGTGATCAGAGATTCTTCCTATTTATATGTTGAACTGACTTAAAGGTACGCTTTATTTAACGGACAGATACGACGAAACTTCATGGTTTAGTCAGTGCGCAAGTGCAGAACAGCGAAACTTGCCTCGGTATGAAACAGAGACAAATAACAATGTCGGAATTTTTAACCGCAGTTGTAAAGCTCTGTCAGCGTAAAAGACTCACAGGCATGTACAGTTTTACTAAGATGTAGGGGAAAATGGCAAAGGCAAAATATTCCGTTTTTATCAAAAGCACGACTTATCTGGAAGTTAAATCTAAGTGAGGTCAAAAACTAAAACTATATAATCTTTACACAAACTGACAAACGAGATTTGAATGTTTTTTGTAAAGAAGTGAGGCACACTGAAACTAAATAGGTTACCTGGGTTAGTGTCCACAACTTCTATGTAGGAATACGACAAACCTGGTGATTTAAAAAAGGAAACGTATGTGGCACCTGTTATGGTGATAACACTTTTGACTCAATAAGTGGATCTGATCGAGTGTTCTCTTCTGAAATTACACGGTCCTGTTCGCTTCAATGCATCAGAAGATCAACACATATATAACTCAAACATCAGCACTTTCTCAGGATTCTACCTTTTTGAGGTGTTTGTCTCCCAAAAAAATTCGCCTTTATTTCGTAACTTCATGTTTGTATTTTTCAACTAGGTATACAAATCAGGTACCACTTGTTAAAACCTTTTTCTCCAACCTGGTCGCTAAAATGGGCTGTCTGATTTAATTTTGGTAAAAAGCACCGTTTTTAGGATTCGTTAACTCCTTCTTAAATCCAGCACAGTTTTTTAAGTTGTTGAATGGATTAGAGAATGTCGACTAGTTAATTAGGGTTCTGAGACTACTTACCAATTAAAGAGAAGATCCCAAGGACGAAGGCTGAAAAGTATAAAAAGCGTGAAAATTCTGGAATACGTGGTAATAAAAGCATTGACATCTCCAAAGACACATACCTGAAATTCTTCGCAAAAACATTTTGAAGACTTAGGCTTTTCCCACGAGAAATCAAACTTTCCCGTTGGGAAGATTTCCTATCTGTGTCGACTCTATACACTATTAATGATCGCAGGTGAATGACGCGATCTCCACCAATTAGCGCTACGCTAGATTCAATCGTGTTTAACTTAAACAGTTTCCTTATGAGCTAAGTTCATAATATAGAGAGTAAGGAAACGTGTGCAACAAACGAATTGTGACCGCGCGCAAAGGATTTTATGGGGTAGCTCACACTGGACAGTTATTGTCTGGAGTTACGAGCCGTGAAAACTACAGTAAAACTTTTGAAGTGTCCTCTTAAAAAAATAAAAAATAACCTTCAGGGGTCACTGGTTCTAATGATGTGTGGGATTTTTTTGAATCGAACACAATTGATAGAGTGAAAACGTTATAATGAAAATAAGACAACGTGTAAAAATGTGGTCTTAGCTCGGTCAACCTCGCGGGCTCGTCTTCAGGCTACTCACATGAAGAACTAATTATCTTATGGTCATTATTCAACTTTAGATTTTCGCCGGTGGAGAACAGTTGACGGATGTTTTAAAACGAGTAACGGGTATGTATATGTACCTGCATGTGTTGACACTGAAACATGAAACAATATTTGTTATGACAGTTTTCGTGTTGAACATTTAAGCAAAATTTGTCAATAAAAACTGATGTTGTTTTATATAAAAAGCTTTCCGCTAGAAAACGAGATTCGTGACGGTTTTTTGAAGTTGAATACTTGGCTTGTATAGGTGACATGAAGTGGGTACCAACTTTTTAAACCTGCTACTTTGCTTGTGATTCGGCTCTATAATGACGAAACTTTTTTCCGGGCCAAAAGAGTGGAAACCACATTGCCAGGATCTGTTAGTCACCATGCGCGCTTTGCTTTCAATTTTGAGGGTGTTTAACTTACAATGGGTCCATGTATCGTAGTCATGGGAGTTGAAAAGAGAGTATGAACTGTTCATATTTTCTTGGAGTTGATTAACAGATTCAGGTGCCCTGCTGTTATCATTGTATGATGGTGTTTTAAATAAATTTGGGAGCTTTTGGATATTGAAATCATTGTGCATTTGAAGGCTCCTCTCTCTGATTCTTCCCATTTTCCCTTAGAATGACAAACATTTTAGTAGCTCCCCATGATAATTCGATTGTGTTTCCAGATAGCCCAAAGTTTAATTTGTTAATTTCCAAAACCCGTCGCGTAATCGACCCAACAATATACTCAGACCAGCATAATTCGCTTATCACTTCGCTTAGAACTTTCTTTTGTTTTTTTGCAACTGTTGAGCTGTAATGAAAGAGCATTTTAATTTCAGATTACTCTACATGATAGGGAAAGTCTTTACTACAGTCATTGTCATTTTTTATCATAAAAAAAATATCAAAAGAGAGTTTTATGAACAAAACACAAAGCTAATACCCCTACATAACTAAATGACAGAGTAAATTTCTCGAAGATGGGTTCATAGGTGGAAAAAGGTGTAGTTATTCTTGTACGGCTCCGTTCTGGTAAGACTTATCCGTGGCCGGATAATTAAATGGGGGGTAATACCCATGTTGCATTTGATAATCACTTAACAAGAACCAAGCCACTTCATTTGGCTTGGCACATGTTAACCAACGAACAAAAATTGATTTCCATTTGTTCCTTGCCGGGCCGCTCAAATATCGACCAATTGGGAGGCCATCGTTCCCACTGAAATGAGCATTTAAACAGTCCCGGATGTTCGCCAGGCAGGGGTTTCCCCCAATGTAAATGACTCTAGAGTCTTGGGTGATCTCGTAGACACCAGGCAAGCGAGTAGACTCGTATTTGTCGTTGATGTCAAAACTTCGTAAAGCCGAGGTAAGAGGACGAGCGTTCAAGCGTTCACGGTAGTATTTCATGTTGTTCAAGTCCTCTTCTGTGGCCTGGTAGTCGTATGCATCAACATAAGCCATTTTCTGACCGAAATGCCCTTAAAAATATTTAAAGAAACAGTAAAATTCATTCCATGACAAAAGTACGAGGAAGACAGTAAGTAAAGGATAATAATGGTGACCAAGACTGTGAGAGTAAACGTCAGAAGTTAGTAAAAAAAGGAAGGAATAGAGCTTGTTGCTAATGAAATAAGGAAAAAATGTTTGTAGTCAATTACAGAAAAGGACCTCAAACAGTCTTCACAGGATTCGCTCTACCATAAACTTAAGCAGACTTTATTAATAAAGTCATTCTTATGAAATACACCCTCCAGTAAAAGACTTAAAAAGTTCACAGACGTTAAGAGTTTCTTTACCTTCCACCTACAAATCAGCCTCAGGCTAAGGATTTTCTCACAAAGCCACGACATTAAAACCTCATTACATAATGTAATGCATCGAGCAGAGCAACTTGTTCTATTTTATTTTCATAAACCTGTAAAATTGCATATAAATTGTTGCGAAAACTGGAAAATGCAAAAACTTACTTTTACATTAGTCTCCTTTGATAACACTCAGGTTTATTCTCGTAAATCTTCAACTCCTTGTTCTTCCTTCTGTCAATTTTTCCGTTGAGACGGTTGACGGTTGCAATTGGTTTTGGTGCGTGATTTAAAACCCCATAGATGTGCGCGCGCAATTTTCTTGCAATACATCGACTGATCTCAAGTGTGCAAGATTGGAAACAATCGAAAACAAAGGCGCATTGGAAAGGAACGTCTTAAATGAGTTGAAATTTTTAACTCGTTCGCAAATGGTCTCCATAAGGGTACCTTTGTATCTGTCTACAACAAAGGAAATGCAGGACTCACTTCCATATTAGTTTAGTAACTCTGATTGTTAATCTTGAAGTAGAGTATTCATTAAAAGCGTTTTTCAAACATTCCCCACCAAACTATTGTTTTGTCCAGCGCTCTCTTAGTTTTCTTTAATCAATCTTTGCTTCCTCCTCCTTTCTCTCATAAACTTCAATAGTCTTCTCTTTCCAAAGAGCACTGTTTGCCAGAATATTTTCACGCAAATCAAAGCAATACCCGTGAACAATATCAACAAAAGCCATTCCCCATTAATACTCAATAATATAACAGTTAGAAAATATGCCACAAGCAACAAAAAGTCAAACAAAACTCCAACCCGTCTGTTAAAGGTTTGCGTGATTGAAATTTCATCAGCGTGATAATTTTTGGAAGTTTGCAAAACATACAACAATTTTAGTGTTTCGCCCAGGTCATGAAGATTTTTATCCATTTCCGTTTCAAATGACAGAAAAGTTAAAACTTTGTGTATTCGTCTGCAAATCTCTTTTATGAAGAAAGTTTTCTTAAGCTCTTGCCTTACCATAAAATCTAAGGTCGATTTTTCCAATGACGGAGAATCACGGTTCTTTAAGATACTATTACATGATTTTTCTCCCATTGCGTTATTTTCACCGCCGACCGTTGTTCATCAAGTGTACCACAATTATCTTCCTGTGCTGCGGTTACTCAAGAGACGTGTTTTACTTCTGGGATTTAGATAAGTGTGTCGGTGTACGCTGTGTCATAGCCTCCCCAAGTTCAGTGTTGTGAAAGAAATCTTACTGGCACTGCGAGTTGGGTTCCTCTGTGGTTGAGTCGTGCAAAAAACTAGATTTAGAGGTTTTCACCTCAAGGAATCAATAATACCGGAATTCTTTAACCGCTGATATTAGGAAAAACGATTGCAGTTTCTATGTCGTGGTAAAGATTATGATTATTACGTAATATTATAATCGAATTTCGGTACGGCGCGTGCGCTTCATCGCTGTACTCGATCAGTTTTATCCGGTAGCATTTTGAAGTCAACATAATTGATTTACATGGATGATTTGATTTAAAGCTATCGTTTCTTTAAATGAAAATTTTGGCTCAAACAGAAATTTCCCCTAACTATTGTCGGAAAGGAGAAATTTTAAAATTATGATGCGTACCCATTATGTCACCGGTTAATTGAACGTAACTTTGTTGCTAGGCCACTGAGATATATTCATTCGCCGCCAGCCAGCGTGAAAAGCTCTCAACTATTTCTAAGAATTTTGAAGAACAAAAACTGTGTTGAGGTATGTACGATTCAGCTGTAACGACAAACTCTCACCACAACAAGACTTTTGTGCTTGTTTTAAGTTTTAAAGGCGTCATTGCAGTTGTAGCGTTTGTAGGATGTAGTAACAACATTAAGATAGAGATTCAGAATTTTTGATATGTTCATCAATGTTTGAAAAAACTCAGAAAGAAAACTGACGTTTACATCCGCGGAAATATTACAGTCTAAAATGATTTTCTGTTTTTTTCTTAATGGCTGAAGTAAATCGAAATGAAGAGATCCGGGCCAGAGACAACGGTCAAGGAAACAGAAGTGGATAAAGATCACTTTAAGGTGATTCGTTTCTACAGAGAAAAAATGAACCAACAGCCTTTACACAGTGCACTCAGAAGCTTTAATATACAAGATGGTGTACGTATGTCTGGAGTTTACGAGATTCATAGAAATAACGAGGTAAGCGTTAGGATCTTTGTAGATTATGGGCTTTTCGGCAACGACTACCTGCATGGAGAGATTTCGAGGGATTGCACGCGAGTTTTACAAAAAAAGCAAACTGTTAAGTTCAGATTAGTTTGTATTTCAATAGTAATACCTTACTGAGAAAAAGCCAGCTTCGGAGTAAGGCAGAAAAGGAAAATGTCTGAGATCTCTCCATCTCGATGTTATATGTTATATTGTTTCCTATGATCGACTTGGCATCGGAGTTTTCAAAGCCGTCATGTCTAGCCGGCTTTGGTTCGTCTCCTTCGCAGCTGTTGTGTGGTGTCGTCAAGCAAAATGCTCTTGTTTGGTCCCGTCACGTTGCGAGGGCATGTGTTGCGTGACGTTACCAAATAGCAGTTGCAAAGAAGACACAGCTTTAGCTAGCCCCGTAGAAAGTTGTCATAACGCAGTTGTCTTATGATATCATAACGCAATTTTCACAGATCATCTACATCGGAGGGAACCCTTATTTTAGCAACATCCGGGACTGTCTAAATGCTCATTTTAGCGGAAATGATGGACTTCCT